TACAAATTTTGTTATTTTTTCCGAAAATGATGTGCGCAAATCGAAAAGCTTTCTAATCGCTTTTCCGCCAACGAATACGGAGCGTTTTTCCTGCTTTCCTATTGCAGTTTGCGTCTTGGCAGCGCCTTGACATCGTCGTCGCTTTTTATATTCGATATAACCGATCCGTAAACCTACATATATAAATATATGTATATAGTATATATACATATTGAGACGATGTATCCATAAGACGTGGAGGTGTGTGCTTTTTATTGTGACAAATATTTGGCCAGCTTTCTTCTCACAGCGCGACAGTCACAGAGATTTTTGCGTTGTGCGATTTTTCTTTTGGAAAATGAGTATACAAATTTTCGCATATTTCTACAGTGAGATAACGAAAAGAAAGAAATTAAAAGTTGACAAGTTGTTGCCAATGTGTAACTCTCGGTGTTTGTATTTAAAAACTAAAAGAAATTGTTTTAAAATAACTGAATAATTGTAAATTAAAACAACGGTATTATGGCATTGACCATGAACATGGTGTTCCTCAAGGATTTACGTTCGCGCCTCAAGGGATTCATGCACGTATGTATATATTTGGGTGACTTTTGGATATTTTATTAACAGTATCTTTGGTTTGGAATTGTGTAATTAAAAGTTAATTTTCCTTGACTCGCCGTCACACCTTCCACTAAAGATTTCCTGCATTAAATTAAATGAAAAACCCCTCTTTGAAGTGCAGGAAATATACACATTCCTCAAACAAGCTATGGTTAGTTGTAATTGCCACAATTACAACAGCCGTTAAGCTCGGGTTAATTAGCTCATTAAGAAGGCAAAGAAGACTGATAAGTAAGTCGAAAAGTCTTAACTGAACTGTGCAGCGTTTCTGACTTGTTCTGTCTGCTCCCCCCTTTTCTCTTTATCTTTTCTCTCTCTGATTTTCTGTTTTTCTCTGATTTTCGGCCCACACAAAAGCGGCGTGCGTCAAAAAAAAAAGAAATTCATAAATTTTTAAACAATTTATTGAAGTTTTCTGACACCTCCCTGCCCGCCTGTCCATTCTCCGTTTCCATTCCCTTTTGTGGCGATATGATGCACTTTTGTGCAACTTTCTCAGGCAGCGCTGCCTGCTGCTGTCATTATACTTATGTATCGCGCCTTTGTCTCGCCGTTGCAACCACCACACCACACCGAATCCCGGCGAATAATGAACATGTCGCTATATATCGCATATTATGCTGATTATTCAAGTATGTTGTGTCAGTTTTTTTTTTTTACCATTGCTCCGCTATGCTGGGCTTGCATTTTCCTTCCATCGCCTTTCTGTAATCACGTTATGCAATCTCATTTGGCTTTATTATGGGTTATCAACAACATCAAGATGTTTTCAAGAATGCGCGGCTAAAATTTCACATGCGAATAACATTTCCCAGGCAATATTAGTTGCACTGGAAAGAAATTATATAAAATGCGTTCAATAATATAATATAGAAAAAAATTAAACAATATATTAATATAATAATTTTTTAAGGAAATTAAAGTTTAAAAATACCATGTCTAAGTCAAAACCTTATTAATTTTAGGTCGGAAGCTTTTCTGTGCTAATTTTAGGTTAAAAATACTTCAAAAATTTTTAAAAAATCGATAAAATCATTTAAAAAATTCATAACAAAGCCAAAAAAGCCTTAATCTCAATCCGGAAAGCAGTTTTATGTTATTTTTTATTAGTTTAATAAATCTGCAAACTAAGTTCCAAATTTTAGGAAATCAAAAGTTTTGTCAATTTTTGACATTTTTGACGATTTTTTTTAACCCCTTATAAAATTTTGAAAAAATATAGCACTTTTTTTTTTTCCTCCAAACATGCTTAGATCGACTCGAATGTTGATGCTGATTAAGAATATATATGGTTTATAGGGTCGGAAATGACTCCTTCACAGAGTTGTAAGCTTATGACCCTGCAAGGATACCTTTTCCGATTATATTTGTCTGATCTATCAGCGTATTAATCGAATTAACAAAGGTTATTATTCTTGAACAGCATCAACAGATAAGTCCATTTAGTTATTTATATTGAAATACTTAAAAGTAAATTTTAAAATATATTAAAAGTTTAATATTTTATCTTAAGAAACCAATTTTTAATCGAGACTTCTTATATTTATAGCATATTTTCTTTCTGTGCACTACTCGATGGGTTTTTGTGGATGATTCGGGATCTGCAGTTGGATGGAGATGGGTCTCCACCCAGGTGTGGGATGATTTCTGCCAATTACAACTCGCTCGTTTGAGTAGCCCGCCGCTGCTGGCTGCGCTGGTCTATCGATTTAGTCTTTAAGCTAATTGCCAATTAGCAGGATTGATTTAAAATCTCATTATCCCATCGGAGAGATATAGCAATCACTGTAGGCAAATGGGGAGGAGGTGGCCCAATGTTTTGGCCTTATCCAAGGTTGCGTTCGCAGCAATTGAGTTGCGTGGTTTGAGCTTATCGGCAGCGAACGAACCTGAACCTGTTGCTGCTCTAGCTGGTTGCCGTTCGTCACGATTCGGTTTTCGCTATTTGCTTCGATTTTCCCCTTGGCCCAGGCACTAGGCCCCCACACACACAGACACAGACACCGGTGCGAATACGGCGCCTCGTTACAGCTGGATGTTCTCAGTAACTGTTCGGCTATAGACGGGCGTAGTTAAAGCCGATTTCCCAACGGAGTTCGATGACTCAACGGGGTTGCAGTGTCACCTAATTATTAGCCATAAATTCGATCAAGTGCTGGCCCAATAATTAACACCCTCGAGTGTCGAATTTAAATACAATTATTAACAGGAGAGAAAATTCGAATGAACTTTATTAATGGAGTGTGAAAAAAGTGTGAATCAAAGTGTGTTGTGTGTGTGTGTTCAGTCTTTGCTGATATCTAAACAAACAAGTGGCACTGGAATTCTTAGTTCTTGCCAAACTTATCAGTTTCCCCGGGTTTCTTTTGATAAGAAAACGTTACGCACTCTTTTATTTTATTTGTGCCAAGTCAGGGCCGCATTTGTTGCGAGGAGTGCCTTGAAAATTAGTTTTTAGTTAGGGAAACTAAATAAAAAGTTTCTTAGGCAAAAGAAAATCAATATGGGATATATTTACAGTTTAAACATAAATGAAAATTCAATATATCGGCGACATTTCTCAACAAAAGCCTGTGAATCCCATTTTTCGTTAAAAATATTTACAAAGCGATTTTTCCATAAAAGTTTGTTTATTGAAAAGTGTTTACCCTGTACCTCTCGGCACTTGCCACATTGTGTTTGGGCGTATACGTATACGTATATGTTGGGATTGTTGATTACATGCTTCAAGAAACTTTGTTTCAATTAGGATTCTTTTAAAATAATTAAAAAAATAAAACCCACATTACATTAAATATTGATTCGAATTAAAAATTACATCAATATAAACCTTCTTTTTAGGGTTTATTATAAAATGTAAACAAAGCTTCTGTTTAAAATTGTGTACATAAATTCTTATGAATTTCCAATTAATAGAAAAAAAGTGGTTCGCTCGGCCTTGTTCTGTGGGTCAATTTCTTTGCCGGGTCCCTACCACCCAATTCACAATGTAAACGTTTTTGTGGCTTCAACAAAGGTTAAAGCATGGTGTCAGTGGTGCTGTAACAATGCCTATTTTGTTGAGTTTTTTGAATTAATAAGCAATTTTTATATGTAATTTAAAGTTGACATTTCTAACAAACCTTTTTTAAATTCTTAAACATACTAAATAAAAGATATAAAGACTTTCTTTTAAATTAAACTTATATACCTTCAAAGTTAAAGATACACTCTAAAAGAAACTTTGATTTATTTCATATCTTCCCATCTTAAAATAGTATCTAGATTACATCTCCCATATTCCCTATTAAAATCATTCTTGAAGCACATCTCCCAAGGTAACCATTCTGAAGAATTCAAATTACTATTGCCTTGTGTGTTGTTCGAAATTCCAATTTGCTAACTGACTTTCGTTTCCAAGAAACTTTCGCCTATCAAACCCAAGAGCTAACCAGAGCTAGAGCAATGAAATTGTGAACTATTTGAGAAAGTGTGGCGGCAGAGACAATGTTGATGATGACATTCAATTGAAATCGATTTCGATTAGAATTCCAATTTGCATAGCAATTAGAGGAGTCGAGTTCTCTATCGCGGCGACACCTTTGCCGTTGACTTTCTTGGCCAAGAAATGCCGTGAATGGTTATCAGACAGAAGCCATCGAGAACCGTTTAATGAGAAAGCCAAAGAAACTTGTTGAACTAGAAGAAAAACAGGCAGAATCAGAATACGAGTAGAAGAAGAAGAAGAGGAACACCCGGGGGGAAAGAGGGCAAAACATTTTCTTGATAAACGGCAGTTGCGAGTCGTGTGAATAAAAGTGTATACTTTATTTTTTTTTTTTTTGTGGGTCAGGCTGTTCCAGCTAATTACCGTGAACTTGTCAGCGTACACGAAACGGCTGTAAAATGACCAAAGCGAGGTGGTAATAAAACCAACGGCGACGACGAGTTAACGTTAAATCCGAGTAGTGAATAATGTCCAGGCTGGTGAAAAGAATCTGCAGCATGATCAGTCCTCACAGCCAGCGATATGCGGAAGATGATATCCCTCAGATCTATGAGGGAGCCGGAAATGGCAGGAAGTGTAACTCCCTGCCACGTCGTCGGCACAGTAAACACTCGGCCGCACGGCGATCCAACAGTGGTGGTGGTGGTAATCTCTGGAACCGAATCGTGACCAGTGTCTTTGGTCCAGAGAATGATGCAGCCAATGAAGATGAGTTTGCTTGTGATGGCAACACTGTTGGTGGTGCCAAATTCTATATAGATTCGGTTAATGGTTCCTGCTATGAGATATGCGGAGAAGTGAGTTGGTGACATAAAGAGAGAAATGTTAAGATATAAGATTATATGCATTAAAATTAAACATTTTCAAGATTTTGTAACTAATTTTCTTTATATTTCTTCTTTCCCCTTAGGGCGAATACATCAAGCATCCCGTTCTGTACGAGCTCAGTCACAAATATGGCTTCACAGAGAATCTGCCCGAGAGCTGTATGTCCATACGGCTGGAGGAGATCAAGGAGGCCATTAGGCGGGAAATCCGTAAGGAGCTGAAGATCAAGGAGGGCGCCGAGAAGCTACGCGAGGTGGCCAAGGATCGGCGCTCTCTCAGCAATGTGGCCGTTCTTGTGAAGAAGAGCAATAGCAAGCTGGCCGAGCTCAAGTCGGAGTTGCAGGAGCTGGAGAGTCAGATACTCCTAACCTCGGCCAACACGGCTGTCAACAGCAATGGACAAGGTGGGTCTCTAAGCATATATTTCCCTATTTTTTTTTTGGGAGGGGGTATATTGAGTAACATTTTCCCTCTAGTGTCGTTTCGAAAATCCATTAAGAGCCACGAAAACTTTCAAAAAGCCAATCATAAACTGTTGCAATTATACGCAAGAGTTGGGCTTAGTTTTGTGCAACAAGTTTCGTGTTTTTTTGAGTCAGCTGTAACGAGGGACAACAAGTGTATTCCCTATAAAACCTTAGGGCGGGGCGAAGTCGTAACCAAAACAAACTACAAAGTAAAGTTGAGGTAGCTCTATAAAGTTGAGATCCCTTTTGCAGGTAGAAGATACTCTGCGGTTAGGTGCCCAGCATTGTTAGCCAAGTCAATTTGGAAGCTAAAAACATTTATAAACTATCTGTAATGGGAAAAGTTTGTTGCTAGTTCAATTTATTGCAATATAATATGGCTGAATAGAGTTATATATTAAATTGATGTAAGAAAGATGCTGGGATACAAAGTCATCTTCAATTTTCCTGCAATTTAATCTCCTTAAAATATTTTAAAAATCCATTTTCTTCAAACAAAAAATACTAATTTATAAAATTAAACCAGAAAAAAACAGTAGTACCCTGTTCAAAGCTTTTCAGAATGACCAAACAGGTATTTAACGAGTCTTTGTCACGCACTTGCTTTTACCACACTTTTCTTGGCTTAATGTGCTATTCCCTTTCCAAGTTGGTGACAAAAACCCATTGTAAAGGGCGTGAAAGATCTGATTATCGCTTTTATATATACTGTACTATGCCCTTGTATCTATAACAAAACACTTTGTGATGGACGACAGACAGCAAAGTCGAAAAGTGTCTCTCAATTTCTTGTGTCGCCTTTTTTATGGGAGCCAACTATTGACACAACTGGCGTGAAATGAGCTGCTTTCGGTTTGTTTACATTGTCAAAGAGAGGGGGAGATGGAGACTAAGACGGAGACAGGGTTCTCTGGCATTCAATCTATACGCTTCCGTGTTTGGCAGAATAGCAGAGCTGACCCAGAAGAGGAGCTAGCTCCATTGTTTGGCGCCATGTCGGATCTTTCCTGGCAACTGTCGAAAGCGATTGACATGTTTGGCAGCTGTCAAAAGAATGCAGCACAAAAATGTAAATGTTTTATAAACGATTCTCCAAACGAACTCTGTGCATGTATTCCGATGTAAAGTTATGGATTAAAATAATAAATAGCCTGTAAAAATAGCAAACAAGAGCATAATAGAAGAGGAAATGTAGAACGAGGGCGAGGCATTTTGTTTTAAAATAGAATGAAACAATTAGTGGCTTGTTTGCTTAAACTTACTCAAATATTATCTAAGAACAAAAACATAGCCTCCAACTTGACAGGAAGTTGTGAAATTAGCAACAATTCTATGCTATATAGTATTTACGTACAGCTATTTCCCTTAATCAGTCTGCTTATTGAGGCTTTTACAGCCCTTCAACTTAATGCTAGACTGTAATTTGTTGATAAGACTGTATTTACTTTGATTAAAAATAAAAAGTTAAGGGAACTATATAAAATTGTGGGAACTATACTGAATATATGCCTACGAAAAACCTTTTTAAATATTTATTTCACCTGCAAAACTAACTCCTATCTTTCTATTACAGAATCAATTATTGCCTGCACTGATCCCAATGGCGGCTTCCTGGTCAGCGGAGCTGTTGGAGGCTTGGGCAGCGGCGGCGTTGGCGGAACTACAGCTCTCGAGGGTGGCGGACCGGCCACGGCCAATGACAAAGTCCTTGCCTCACTGGAAAAGCAACTGCAAATCGAAATGAAGGTGAAGACTGGCGCGGAGAATATGATCCAATCGCTGGGCATTGGTTGCGATAAAAAGCTGCTGGCGGAGGCTCACCAGATGTTGGCCGATTCAAAGGCTAAGATCGAGTTTCTGCGTTTGCGCATCATCAAGGTGAAGCAGAACCGGGAGCAGGCCGACCGGATGAGAGCCACGCGTCAAATGGTGGATGAGCATGGCCAGATGATTGGCGGGAATAGCAGTAGTCAGCCGCAGAGTATGGAAACATCGCTGGAGGAGAGGATTGAGGAGCTGCGTCATAGGCTGAGGATCGAAGCGGCCGTAGTTGATGGAGCCAAGAATGTTATACGCACGCTGCAGACGGCGAATCGAGCACCGGACAAGAAGGCGTTACAGGAGGTGAGTGGAGATAAATTAAAATATATCAAGCCTTTTTATAAAACTTGAGTGAATTATGGGGATTTTTATTAATAATTATTATTATTTTTAAGCGATTTGAGGGGTTTTAAGGGTAGTTTGTTATATAAATATATAGAATTTTAGTTGAACAATTTAATAATTTCCTTTAAGAAAATTAGATTTAAGATTATTATACATATATATTTGTCACACTTTTTAATCTCTTTAAAACCCGCGTAATTGGGCTAATCCCAGTGTTAATTAGAGCTGGCTCTTGGCCAGGTAGTCTTGCTAGTAGTTCCTCCCCCTTTTACACCTCTTGAACTCTCAGGTGTATGTCGCGTTGCCATATGGCCACACGACGTATGATTCATATTTGGTATACTCGCTACGTATACGTGATTTTTTCCCAGCAACTGAAACTGAAACAGAAACAGAAACAAACGGGAAGCGTGCAGGAGGAAAGCTAATTATGCGGCTGTTTAAAATATTTTTCAACGCTTGCCCATTCGTTTTTTTTCTTCTTCGTTTTCGTTTTCATTTCAAGTCTTTTGCCGCTAACTGTCGTCTCATTAATTAAACGGACGTGAAGCGACGCAATTACTTGGGGTCTAAAAAAAAAAAAAAATAAGAAATATATAAGATATTTGGCAAGTGTGTGTGCCTCAGGGCCTGCCCTAATAATTTTTTTTTACAGAGAAAACAAATTTTACAAATAATAATAGATAGATTTTCCCAATAATTTCACAATGCTAGACACAAGTATAGTATATTGGGGTTTTTCCTTCTTTTCTTTCACTGATTTCCCAATGTCTGCGTTTCCTGTCGCGTGGCAGAGCTGCCGCTTTTCCTCTTTTCCTCTTTTGTGATTTATTTCTGCGCTCACTGAATGCCGCTCGTGTGGTTTTTGTCTTTGAATTTAAACATGAAGCACACACTTGCGAGTTTTTAACTTCCGCAGCAGCATCAGCAGCAGCAGTAAGAGCCATAGAAACTACAACAATATGTTGTCCGGAGCCGATGGTGGCCTAAATATTCTATTTGCAGGCCCCATTCTCATATTTATTTGTTCTGTGGCTCGGTTGCAACTGACAGATGCACAAAAAATGTAAAAAAAAGGGGGAAATGAAGCGCGGCTACAGTGCGTTTCACAGACTAAGACAAATGAAAGTTTAATGGGGCGAGGGAAAGGTTTAGAGGGGAGAAAATAGAAGATATCTTTATAGAAAAATGTGACTATTCTAGGAGAATTAAAAATATATTTAATAAAAGAGAAATATATATTAGGATCAGATTTAAATTTACTTAAAATATTTGGCTATTTTTTATATATTGATACGATTTGCCATGACTTCCTGTGATTTTTAAGACCCTTTCCAATGTTTCCTTTTGTTTACTTTGCGAACAAAATATCGCTGAAGTTTTTATGCGATCTATAGCCTAGCTCTAGGAACAATAATAAACACAAAGCAAAGCATTGCCCTTTTGTCCATATTGGTTAAACATTTATAGAACTATGCTGCTGGCACGGCCAGGCACGTCACCCAAACATTGGATACGATACTTTACCGTACATAAACACACGTCTATATAGAATGTTTGATCGGGCAGCGGCGAAAATGAGCAGTCGGGTATAAAGCCATCATAAGAAACGGAGCGCAAAGTTCTCTGAAAAAGCATATGGGGGAAATTCGTTGGTGAATTGTGTGTGTGTGTGCTTCTCTAGCGAATTTTCCCCCAACAGCAGAGACAGGCAGCTTTTCCTCAGGCATTCAGTGCGAGTTCGATTGCCGCCGCCGACGCCTGGTGTTTTCCCCAATATATAATTTTTAATTATTTTTATTTTTCGTGTTGCGTTTAAGTTCGTGTTAGCGTTTGTGTTTTCTAGTTGGTTATGTGTGAAAATTTTTGAAACGTGTAATATAAATAATGATAAAATAAGATAAAGAAATAAAATAAAGATTTAATCAAGTATCAAAGTTAAATAATTAAGAAATGCTAAAGAACTCATCAAAAGTGAACTCTAAAATATAGCTAAAGGCACGCACACACATACCACTTTCTAAGCATTAAACATATATATAAAACTCCCCTAGAATTGAACTTTAAGCACATTACGCATACGCAACGTGTGCGTTGCACTTGCTTTATACACCTGCAAATTGCGTAATTTCCTTGGGTTTCTCATATGGATTATCATTGCGTCCTCTCAAAATTTGGCTTTTGGGGTCATCTTGCAATTTTAGCGTAACGAAGAAAACACAAATCTTGTTTAAAAATAAATATCACATAAATTTAGAAGCAAACGAAAATTTACAAAAACCGAAAGTGTTTTCACACCGAAATAGTGTACGGGTGTGTGTGTGTGTGCGTTGGCTGAATGAAGCTAAAAATACAGAACAAAAAAATATAAAAAATAAGAAAATATAAAGCAAATAATACGTTTGAAATTGTCTGTGAAAAACATATATTTTTTGCTAAGCAAATTCATATTTAAATATCAAGTAACTTGGTTAAATAATTGAAATTTATTGTGATAAACATTTCCCGAAATATTTCCTGCTAAATTTTCACTGGAAAATTCCACAAATAAACCATAAACAAACCGCATTTGTTGATAATATAAAATTACCTTTAAATTTAACGATAATTTCAAATGTAAACCTTTTGTTTCGAGTGTAAAAACTAATAAATTTAATCGAATTTAGTTCGAGGATAGAAACTATCCAAACGGTTTCTTGATATTTTTAGCAAAAGTTATAAGAATATAAAAGAATATATATATATAGAAAGACATATGTACAGTGCGTGAGTGGATATATATGGCACCTTGAGCTGCCGCCGAAATGTGTTCATTGTGTGCGTAAGGCGTAGTCATGGAGGAGCAGCAGGTGCCGCTGCCCCACGAACTGACCGCCGAATGGACAGTGCGGGCACATCTCACCTTTGCCCGGGCAGGAGAGCCTGTGCAAAAGGAGTTAAGTGCACCTGAGGCAGTGCATCCGGTCCGTGTGGTCTACAAATGGTGCACGCCCTCGGAGGAAGTCGAAGAGCAGGATGTGGATAAGGTAAAAACTAAACCTTAAGCAGTCTGGAAGCTTTATTAATCCCTAACTTGCAGACTGCAGCCACCAATATTACTGGAACCAGCTTCCGTTCAACCAACTCTTCGGCCACGACCAATGCAGACTCTGCTTTCGGCAGTCCTCAAGCTTCTAGAGCTGCTCGAACTCCTGTGCCTGCTCCTGCGCCTGCTCCATCGGGAGCCACTGCCCAAGTGTGCGGCACAAGATGTCGCAGCACCTGCAACATAATGGTGTCCGCTGTGGCGGATTTCCTGCCTCAGGATGCGGCCATAGGAGCAGCATCTAACAACGAACCCTTTGTGTACCACAGCAAAGTGCGGGCCCAGCAGCTGAGAGATGCCTTCTCCCAGACAAGCGACACGGAAGAGCAGGCGCCCAAGAGGCGGCCAGCTTATGAGCAGCGAAGGGCCACCACCGAAGCGCTGATGAACTTTGCCAGCAAGCGGCAGGCGGAGGAGGCTAACACATATGTGGTAAGCCTAGAGAATACCCAGGGAAATCTTAACAATTATAATAATTTCCATCTCCAAACAGCCACCCTACTCGCCCACGCCCACTACGCCCTCTTCCACATTCAAATCGGCTTCCATGTCCAGGATACCACCTCTGGCGAGTCAAGGTTCTGCTGCTGCTGCAGCTCGTCCCTCTAACCCGGGTGAAAAGAAACCCCGCACCGTACACATTGATGTCTACTGCACTGGCTCCGAGGAGGAGGAAGAGGAAATGGCGGATGATGAGCGTCAGGCTAGCTCCAGTTCCTCCGATTCCGATTTGGCTGGCAGCAAACGCTACGACCTAGACTCCAACTCCACGCCACAAACCGTGCTGGACAATGAACAGATGCTGCTGCGGCACCAAAGAATCTCCGGTGGGGCAATGCCCAGACGCTTGGCTCAAAGTCCAAATACCCAAAGTGGTTCAGGATCACAGAATCAGCAGCAGAAGGATCAATTAAATCTGGGACACGCCATCACCAAATGCAGCACTGCCGAGGAGGTGAGCGAGTCCAAGCAGTTGCTGTTCCGCAAGCATATCGGTGATCAAAGGGCGGCCAAGTTGGCCAATCTGCGTCAGAAATACATGCGCCAGCCGAGCGATGAGACCAGCAGTAGCACTTATCCCAACTCCTCGAGATCTACGATGCCACGAGATGCCACCTGCAGCAGCATATCGAGTGTAATGGGTGGCGGTGGAGGCGGTGATGGCATGGACTCTTCGTGGAAGGAAACGGATGAGGTAGACACTCCCATTATAAGCTTTGGTCTTACCAAGTCGGATAGCTTTGACTATGAGAACTCGCTGGATCGACTGAGAATAAGCCAGATGGAGAGACTGTGGTCACGCCAGCACTCGCTGGATCAGAGTCCAGCGCACACGCACCTGGGAGCACCAGCACCTCATCCTCTGCAGACAATCACAGAGGTTCAATCGCAAAGGAACTCCTTCCAGCGCAGCGATACCATACCCTCCGAATCGGATGGCTTCTCGGATGGCTTCAATACCTACCCAGGCAGGCAGATTCAGTCTCATCTCCAGCAGAATTCGCACTTTCCGCGAAATCGCCCGGGTTTCTTGCAGTTCTTTGGACCCAACAACAGCGGGCCAAGCAGTGGACCAACGCCTCCTGCCACGGCACCAGTTCAGCCCGCCGCCGCTGCCACCACTGACCCCTTCCGCCTGCTTCATCCAAGCTATCGGTGGAAGAGCGAGGCTCGCGATAACCTTAGTGTTCAGGTAGCCGCCTCTGGATCACCCTCCTCGGAGAGAAGTTCTCCCCAGCTGCTGTCCGCAGCCACCACAGTGCTGCGTTGTGGCAGTGAGGCGCCGCCGAGCACCACATCGGCCAGTACTTTTGGCACCACAGTGGCGGCACCCACACCTTCACCACTGCCAGTGCGTCGATTTGAGATATCCAGGGACAGTCCAAGTTTGGCCAGTGAAACGTCCACCTCCCTTTCCGGCTATACTCATGAGCATTTGGAGAAGGCCCGACGCTTTGGCAATGTGGTGGCCTCCTCGCGAAAGCCTGGGCATCATGTGGGACCCACCAAGAATCCCAGCTGCCAGTGCGAGAGCTGTCAACGCTGGATGGCCGAGAGGTTTCAGCTGCGCGGCAGAGCCTTCTCCTTGGGCGAGAAGCCCTTGCTGAGGCGACCGAAGTTTTAGAATTGCAAAAAACATATACATAATTCTTTGTCTAAGGCTTTGCATTTAACACTGCTTTTGGAGCTTGCTCCCGAGAAACCAATTAACCCAAAACCCCAAACCCGAAATCCTTAAAACCCCAAATTTCTTTCGATTTAGAAGTAAGCCAATGTAAGCGAATGTTCCTCACACAGAAAAAATGTGCGCTGAATCAATTTTAATGTTGTAATAAAGTAAAAAAAAAAATAGTTTGTAAAGGGAAAGTGGTTACTTATTAGGGGGTTTTTATATAAATATGATAATATTATTTATATATAATATTAATATAATAATATTATTTATATATAATATTAATATAATAATATTATTTATATACTATATATGGGTAATAAAAACAAACTATGGGTATGTTATTTATTTGATTTTTGGTTGCTGATTCAACCATAAATTTCTATGCCTTGTTGGATTTTTAATTAATGAATCATAAATAATTGCCATGCTAAGTATATAAAGTATATATACAGAAAAGACAAATTGGCAAGAAGATAAATGTGGGTTTAGTTCAAGATCATTTAGAATTTTATATTATTTCCAAAAGAATAAATTTTTTATTGAGTTAAAATATTTAAATATAATTTAAAATAAAATAAATAATAAATACAAATATTTATGCATTTTTTAAATATATAAATTAAAAATAAAATAATTTAATAATACATTAAAAAAAAATGAAATAATAAATAAAATGAAAATAAAAATAAATATAAAATGAAAATAAAAATATAATTTATAAGTACAAAAATAATATATTTTTTTTTGATTAAAAATAAGAATAAGAAATAAGAATTTAAAAAATAATTAATAATAATGAAATAATAAAAAAACCCTAGAAAAATGCACTTTCAAGAAAAGGCTTGTAAATATTCCTTAAATAATTATAAATCAATATTAATTCTCTACTATTTCCTTCAACCAGGCCCATGGACGCTTGTCGGAATCATCACGAAAACTAGATCTCTTGCGCCACTCCCTGGACTTGCGCCGCCAGGAGCTGCCCGTTGACTCGCCTGCCGCTCAGCAGCTCAAGACGGAGCTGCAGATATTCCAGCAATCCACGTCGCCAGCTCCAGTCACCTACACTTCGCTTCAGTCGGGACAAGGGGGAATATTGGGCGGCAGGCCCTATCAGTCAGTGTCCTCGCTCGGACGCTGTGCAAGTGTAACCGGCAAGCTGGAAGTGCGCCTGATGGGCTGCCAGGATCTGCTGGAAGATGTGCCCGGACGTTCGCGTAGGGATAAGGATAACAACTCGAGTCCCGGGGATTTGAGAAGCTTCGTCAAGGGTGTGACCTCGCGCAGCAGTTCGAAAAGCTATTCGGTGAAGGATGAGACCTCCATTGAAATAATGGCAGCCATCAAGCTGGACAACATCACGGTGGGCCAGACCTCGTGGAAACCGTGTTCGCAGCAGGCCTGGGATCAGCGTTTCTCCATTGATCTAGACCGATCCCGTGAGCTGGAGATCGGCGTTTATTGGCGCGACTGGCGATCGCTGTGTGCGGTGAAGGTGCTGCGCCTGGAGGAGTTCATTGACGATGTGCGACACGGCATGGCCCTGCAGCTGGAGCCGCAGGGTCTGCTCTTTGCAGAGGTCAAGTTCTTGAACCCAATGATATCGCAGAAGCCAAAGCTGCGACGTCAGCGCATGATCTTTAACCGGCAGCAGGCGAAGAATATCTCGCGGGCCAAGCAGATGAACATCAATGTGGCCACCTGGGGACGCCTGCTCAAGCGAAATGCTCCCAACCATGTGCACATGGGCACGGGAGCGGCCAGTGGTGCTCCCACCGGCACCAGTTCACCCATGGTGGTCAGTGGTTCTCGGGACTCGGAGTCGCCAATTTCAAGAACTCCCTCCTCGGATGCCCTGGTCGAACCGGAGCCATATACGCCGGGAGAACAGGCCCAGAATCTGGAATTTGATCCCGATGCCGGTATGCATGAGCATGTGGAGACACCGGGTGAATATCCGGATCCGGCAGCCAGCGGTTTAAGCGGCATGCGTCCCCTGTCCATGCATATGCAGGGTATCAGTGTCCTGCCGCCGGAATCGCCACCCGTTGGTGCTGGCAGACCCAACACCCTAAGCTTGCAGATGCCGGGAGCTGGAAGCAAGGGAGGAGCTCCAGTTATACAGGGCGGTCGCACTGCAGCACCCACAACGGCGCCACCACCACCACCTGTGCTCAAGTCCAACACCACTCCGATTCTGGATCAGGAGGTAAGTCAGATCTTTTCTATATTTTATAAAGCGATCCTTGTACAGTTGAATATATAGTCAGTACTTGACCCTGTATAAAGATCGACGTATGTATTTTACGTAGCTGTGTACCTGTAGCTCTGGTTTGATCGTTGTGCCTGCCACCTGCTACTTGCCACTCCTCCGCCACTTCACTTTATCATGTATCTATATATCACTATCACACACACACACACACTACATGTACAGAGTCACCACATTGGGCATTATACGGTGCTGGGTTTTTATTATGCATTTATCTTCCCAGTTTGTTACTCCGAACTCCATGCAGAATCATCATCGATCTGGATATTGTTGCAAGTTGAAGAGATTGAAAAGATAGAGATTAGAGATTTTTTGTTATATATCTTAGATCTAGGTTTTTTCCCCTTTTTGTTGAAAAGATCTTTCAAAATCCTTTGAAATACTTTTTTATATATTTAGGTAATTAAATACTATTTGGTTATTGAAATTTCACAATATTAAGATCATAATCAGGGGTTTCCTCTATGTTGTATTGTTAAAATCATCAAAATATCGTCAAAAATCAATATAATATCGATAAGATGATACATTTTTACTGAGTAATATTTTGTATCTTCATTTTTTAAATATGTTAAGGATGTTTCCTCTATATTATATCGAAAATATCGTCAAATATGCGTAACATTTTTGCAGTGAATTTTTATATTTCTATTAAAGCATTATTTATTATAAATTATAATTAGATGCTCCATGGTTTTTAATTTAAATAAAGCCAAATGAGATTAGAAAATCCTGAACTTGGCCAATAAACCCTTAGCTTTCCCAGACAGCCCCCGCTCCCTTTCATTCCATCATCAGCATCATTCATCTTCTACTTTCTTAATCGCGTTTTATTCATTCTTTTGATCATTCTCCTCTGCCTCTATTTATTCCCCTCTTCACCTGGTTCTCTTCTTCGATCGCACCTTGCTTTGCCTGGCCCGCCTTCATCCTCCTCAATCTCTATCCCAAAACTCTCTCTCTCTCTCTTTCACTGTATCTGTCTTTGTGTGTCTGTGTGCCCGTTACGGTTTTCGTTTCCGTTTCCGTTCCGTCATGATTTCGTTAATCGCCGACAGCTGCAGGATGCCCTGCATGAGTTTGACTTCCTGTCGGACCTGGATTCGCGTCCCACCACCCTGCGCCGTCTACTAAAAGAGCAGAACATGTCCCTGGATCCAGAGGCGTTAGAGAATCTGCTACTGCAGCAGCAGCTGACCGAGCAGCAGGCGCTGCAGGAGCGCCAGCGGCAAGAGCAGCAGCGTTTGCAGCAGTTTCAAGAGGCCCAGCGCCAGGCAATCCTTGAGTTGTGTCAGAAGCAACAGAGAGAACTGGAGGAGAGTCAGCTACAGCAGCAGCAGCAGCAGCTATCGCCACCGCCGCCACCCGCCTTAATCATCCGCCCAACGCCGCCTGCCAGCAATCAGCAAATCTTGCCAAGCTCCCGCCTCAGCCAAAGCCAAAGCCCAACCCACAACCAATTTCAGTTGCAGCCACAGTTGCCACAGTCACTGCCACATCCCGCCCAGAAACCCACTGCTGAACCACCGTCCGCTGTGGAGCTGCAGCTGCATCGTCCTGTCCTGACCCTACCGCCTGTGGTGCTGCTGGGTGGTCGGGAGGAGGAAGTCCGCTCCGTGCCGCCTTCGCCACTCGTCGAGTATCCCGAGGACGATGACGACTATTTGTACCGAGGAGGAGAAGGAGGAGGCAATGATAACCAGGGCAGTCGGCTGCATACCAGTCACAGCCACAACTCCAGTGCCGGCGATCGTTTCTGTGTGGAGGTTAGGAGGTTTTTTCACATTTCCTGGTTTGGTTTCCGGTTGCCGGTATCCTGTTTCCGGTTTCCGGTCTAATTGCAATCTCTGTTCTCTCAGCTGCCGGGTGAAGGTTCAGCCCTTGATATCTTTGTCCCCGCAGTCTGATCACTTTCTATTTTATTTTTTTTTTATACTAATCCCTATTTCTTTTTTAATTTTTTATTTTACATTTTTTGTTTATGTTTTTTTGTTTTGTTTCTGACTTGAGTTTTGGGTTAAATGTTTCGTCTATGTGTGCGTGTGTTTTTCCTGGTTTTGGCTTTAAATTATATCAAGAAACCCCTCGAAAAGCCCCCGAATTTGTGTAAATAAACATTTAATATTCATAAAAAACACATAAATACGCACTGTAAAACAAAATAAGGCATACACATGCACATACAAGCACAAGTTATTAACAAAATCGTTGTAGAAATAACTAAAAGTTGAGCTAACACTGTTTTAAATATGTTAAATATGTAGAAATTGAATGCTTTTATTAATTCGAAATTCGAATTAATATATAAACGAATTATGATCAATTTGCAAGCTTTTTTTAACCAAGCACAGCCTAGTTTGTTGTAGTTAAAAGCTTGAATTAGTAGTAGTTTATTGGTAACCTAACTTGAGAGCTTTGAGTGTTGTTGAAATTTGTTGCAATTAATGGATAAAAAATTAACATGCACAGCTTAGTTTGTTCTAGGGATGGCAGAAAATGTATATATATCGATTTTGCATGAAAATGTATATCGATTTTGAATACAATATTTTCATAATTTCGATAAATGCGATATTTTTCGATATTCCAACTTTTTATAATATTTTTAATATCAAATCGATTTTATCGATATTTAAAACTTGAATATTAGAACTTTTTACAATGTTTTCAATCTGATATCGATTTCTTCCTTTCGATATATGTATGTACATCCCTAGATTGCTGTAGATAAACTCTTAAATTTAATTTAAAATCAGGCTAAAACAACTTGAGAGCTTAGAGTATTTGTTTTTTATTTATTATCCATTTTCTTTTTGAATTTTTGGCTAAAAGCGAAATGAAATGAAAGCTAAAAGTGACAATTTTAAGCATTTAAAATAGATCCGCCAACGAAAAGATCAGAAGAAAGTAAGGAGGAGAGGGAAGAACATTAGGGGGTTAAGAAACAGCCAGCGAAAGTGCGCCTCTTCACGTGCCGCGCCAGGGAAAATAATGTTTTAATTTTATTTTGTCACCCGCCACCCCCTCACGTTGCAACGTCAGCAGAGGGGGAGGGTTCCACACTTCCATTTTCATCTAAGATGTGTCGTCCGTTGTGGTCATATCTGTGTGTGTCCAAGCTATGTATGTACTTGTATATCCATCGATGTCACATTTTCCTCTGTGCCGTTGGTCATTTTTAGACCCAAAACAACGACGCAGAAGCGGCCAAGCGGCTAGCAGCGGTGCTAGCCTAGCCTATGGTCATGACTTTGGCACTTGTTCGCCTTCAGTTGGCCGCCGCGGTCTTAGCCACATCTCTCTTTCCCGTATCGGTGTTTTATTATCGATCGAAATGTAGGGACGTCATAATGATTGTGCCAACTTTCCAAGCGCTGGCGCTAGTCGTGAGGCAGATGTTTGCAATACAGCTGCAGCAACAGCAGCAACAGAGTCCCAGTCACCATCAGCTCCTCCATCACCTTGACTTGTCCCCCTCGCGTGCCATCAACCAACTGTTACTGTGTCCCGCCAGTCCTGCATCTGCCGCTGTATGTGTCTATCCTGGGTTCCAAATCAATCGAAGCTCTCTCCGCTCAATCAAGCATACTACATCCTCCTTGCAGGCCCGCATTAGTCTTGTACATATTACCCTCGAACCGATCAATGCCAGCCGGACGACCAGTTGCCTGATCGAGGAGGTGGCGGAGCCGGAACCCCAGCCGGAGATTAAGGCGGTGCAGCCCGCGAAAAAAGAATTATCCGAGGCCTGTGTCGAGAGTATTCACCTCGAGACAGTTGAAAAGTTAGAAACAGAAGACCAAAAAGTGGATCAGGTAACAAACAGGAGAAGATTAAGCTAAGAAAGGATTCCTTACCCAGCTCTCAAGTTGTAGCCTTTGCCTTAGTAGTTGTTGTTTTTCTTTAGTATCCTGGAAACCCTCACTAAAGTTAAGCTTTTCCTTGTGTTTGTTAGGTTATACCGCAGTTGGGAAAACTGTATGTGGGCTCTGGCCAGCAGCAATATGCTCAGTCATCATCGCCCATCATCCAGGAGCCACCCACGCCCACCATATATGCTTCAGCCGGTGCTCCACAATTCCCACAGCCCACGCAAAGGCAGGAGAAGCCACAGCAGCCGCAGCAGCAACCCATCTATGCCAATCAGTATGAGCTCAATGTGGCCAAGGCGGCACAAGCTGCTGCCTCCTCCTCCTCCGGCAGCAGCAACAACTCTCAGCAGCGCAGGAATGTGGCCCGTGGTCTGCAGTATACCGGTGGTATAGAGGTGGGCCGACCTGGTAAGCAGGCACCCAATGCCGGCATGCTATCGCTGGACAACTTCCGCTTGCTGAGCGTCCTGGGACGCGGTCATTTCGGCAAGGTGATCCTTTCGCAGCTGCGCACCAACAACCAGTACTATGCCATCAAGGCGCTCAAGAAGGGCGATATAATAGCCCGCGATGAGGTGGAGTCGCTGCTTAGTGAAAAGCGCATCTTTGAGGTGGCCAATGCCATGCGGCATCCCTTCTTAGTCAACCTGTACTCGTGCTTCCAGACAGATGTAAGTAGCTTCATTAGTTTTTATACTTGTTTATATATACTTAAAAGTTTTATATTCATTCCAGCAACACGTTTGCTTTGTGATGGAGTACGCTGCTGGCGGGGATTTGATGATGCACATCCACACGGATGTCTTCTTGGAACCCAGAGCTGTTTTCTATGCCGCCTGCGTGGTCTTGGGGCTGCAGTATCTCCATGAAAACAAGATTATATACCGTGACCTGAAGCTAGATAACCTGCTGTTGGACACGGATGGTTATGTAAAGATTGCAGACTTTGGCTTGTGCAAGGAGGGCATGGGCTTTGGCGATCGCACGGGCACCTTCTGCGGCACGCCCGAGTTCCTGGCACCCGAAGTGCTCACGGAAACCTCGTACACCAGGGCAGTGGACTGGTGGGGACTGGGTGTGTTGATCTTTGAGATGCTGGTGGGAGAGGTGAGTTTTGAGGGAGGGTTTATTTTCATTCAAGGTTGTAATTAAATGGATTTTTTCTGCAGTCTCCCTTCCCTGGCGACGATGAGGAGGAGGTATTCGATTCAATTGTCAACGATGAGGTGCGCTATCCGCGTTTCCTCTCACTCGAGGCCATAGCCGTGATGCGCAGGGTGAGTAAATAAATAGAAATAAAATCTTTACAGATAATTTAATCAATTAAATTCCTTTGCAGCTGCTGCGCAAGAATCCAGAGCGACGTCTGGGCTCTTCAGAGCGCGATGCTGAGGATGTCAAGAAGCAGGCATTCTTCCGTTCCATTGTCTGGGATGATTTGCTACTAAGAAAGGTCAAGCCTCCGTTTGTGCCCACCATTGTGAGTTGAAATATCTGTTTTATTTAATAAGAAACATATTAATGTTTTATATATTTCATAAAAGAACCACCTGGAGGATGTGTCCAACTTTGACGAGGAGTTCACCTCAGAGAAGGCCCAGCTAACGCCGCCCAAGGAGCCGCGCCATCTGTCCGAGGACGAGCAGGTGCTCTTCCAGGACTTTTCATACACGGCCGAATGGTGTTGATAAAGGCCTTTTACACGAATAACCTTTGTGCTTTTACTTGTGTACCAAGTTTGGTTTTGCGTAATTATTTGACTTGGTTTAGTTGTCGGATGTGAGTTCAATATTTATATGAGAAAGAAACATACAGGACGTATTTATACATACATATAATATATATATTTATAAATGATAACTATATAGAAAATATAAATGTATTTATGAGAGAGACCTGGCCGAGCAAGAAAAGAGAGACCAAACCAAATTACCTTTACCTAAAAGAAAGCAAAAGCATTTGTCAATCATCTGCATAAATCACCTCCGATATCTGCCACCACATCATCCCTCCATCCACAGAGAGTAGTTTATTCTTTATTATTTCCTAAAAAAAAAAAACAAGAGCGAGCACACTCATTGAATATAGTCTGAGAAAGCCTAGGAAAAGCCTTATATACGCAACGTTGAACATTTTTTGTAAGATCCCCGATCTGAATAGATTTTATAGCATATTTTTGTAGAGAGACATACAAGAAGAAGCAAATTCAAGGATATATTTTATACATAAACATATACATATATATTGCATGCACACATCCCAGGAAACGAGCTCATCTTTACACACAAATAATAATAATTGAGGAAAGTTCAAGAAAAGCAGCGAGAGAAATGAATAAATTGTAAATTGCCTTGCTATAACCATCAACTCCCCAGCCCCATTGCCCGAGTTGTGTTATAATTTTTAACATCTACATATATATATATATTTTTTAAACCACACACACACGCAAAAACATTTGTTATTTATTATTATTATTATACACCTACAATTATACAAGAAACTGTATTGCTTTGAGCATTTTTATTCGATGATAGAAAGGAAGAATACGAGGATTGAGAATATATAGGGGGCAATGAAGAACTCAGCTCGTTGTCACAGATATATATCCTATATACGCTATATATTTAATGTAATGCTTAGTTGTTTAAGTTTAATCTATTATTGAAACGTTTAGCGTCTAAGAAACATAATTATTGATAAAATAACGATTCGAAAAGAGAATGCAGATCTTATATTGTCATTTTTATTATTATGATTATTATTGTCGATTTAATTTTAACATCAGTCACTTTGTTAAGCTTCAAGTTGTGACTGTAACTTATACTATACATACATATTATTGATATGATTTTGAATAAATGTATCTATTGCTATTAATTAGCTGTTGTTCCTTATGGTTTTCTCGCAGAAACCCTTGCCCATTTGGTAGTACAAAATGTTGGCTGTATTGTCCACAATGGCCAGGAATATGACACTGTGAGGGAGAGGGAATTAGCTAATAATTTGGTTTAACTTTTTGATAAACTCACGTATTTTCCAGCCTTTGTTGCAGGCGTTGAATCAAGCGAAAATCAATCGGTTTGCTGTGAAGTATGGGCACATAGGCTGTAAGTTCTTCCTTCAGTAAATAAAATGCATTTAAATGTTCGTCATATTTTGGCTGCAAGTTCACGTCAGGTTCGTCTTAAAAATATAGTTTTTGGAATTTAAAAATTTATATTTATTCATAAAATAAATCTTTAATTACCATTTTTCAAGTCCTTGTAGATTTTAAAACCCATAGTTGCCATCAAAAGATCGGGACTCACAGTTTTAAAGTCTTTGAGTGAAAGCTGGAAGTTAAACAGAAATGGCTTACAGTTTGAGAGCTACCGGTGAGAAGTATGCTACCTACCATGGCTGTTAAATTGTGTTTATATGTTGTTATTTCAATTTTTATGAATTATATTATTAGTTTATGTTTGCAAATACAACTTAAATTGGTATTTGGTCTTAAGATGGTCTTGCAAATGGTTTGTTTAACTAAATACGTTCTGAGAAACAAATTAAACAGCTGTTTTCTGGGGCTGCCAACCTACCAAAAGCCTGTAAAAGCTTATAAAAAAGCTTTGCCAACCACTCTTTTAGTGTTGTGAAGCTAAGAAATATTTAAAAATGACCGCGGTGCTATTATTTTTACAAATTTTTATCAAAATCAAGCATTAATGTACGAAAAATGAATTTAATAGTAGATTTAAATAATAGGTCGAATATGTAGTTGTTTTTATCTATATGGTTCATATTTCTATAATAAAACTAAAATAATTTCAAAACTAAACCATATATGCTTCTTTAACTACCTAAAATTATCTTAAATTACCCACTAATAAACTACCAAGTTGCCTCTATCAAAACATAATCTTGGTATGCAGACATTGTCTTTGTCTAGACGTAATAGCCAAGCAACTTGGTTACTTGACAGCCAAGAAGGAGAGACACCCAAAAAACCCCACCGATTGCTAGCTCCGAGAAAACGAGAAGGACACCAAAGAGGCGGCAAATTATGCTAAGTAGATGCAGTTGGCCAGAAAGACTGGGAATGGCTGGCCAGGATATGCATGCAAAGCAGTTTCCAAGGCATTCCTCGTGGTTTCCCCAGCCGCTGGGAGTTCCCCCCTCCCCCAGGGTGACCGTCTGTCTATCTGTCTCCTCCGGTTGCGAGACTCCAAGTGATAAGGGTTTGGCAGGAGCAGCAGCGCAGCAGCAGCATCCCTGGGATTCCCACATGTGCATGCATATCAATGTGCGTCTGCGATAAGCAACTTATGCTTTCCGGAAAAAATATGGAAAACAGTGGGAAGCATTGGGGAACAGGAACAGGACCTTGCGGAATACAGTGGATATTAATTATTTATGGAATTTACTTTAAAATATTAGTTAAAGTAGCTTTTTAGGAAATATTATTACCGGGTATTATAATTTTAGTCGGAGGCTTACAATATACTGAAGGACTCATTTCCGACCCCATAAAGCATATATATTCTTGATCAGCATCAACAGCCGAATCGATCTAGCCATATTTTGAAAGAAATTTTTTTTTTAATTTTTTCAAAATTTTATAAGGGGTTACATCGTTAAAATTGTGAAAAATTTACAAAAATTTTAATTTATTGAAATATTAAATTTAAGATGTAGATTTTTTAAACCTAATGAAAACTAGCACAGAAATGCTTTCTGAATTGAAATTAAGGCATTTTTGGTTGAGTTATGATTGTAGCAAGGGTCTAAAAACTTACTTTTAAGTAAAAAAAAACTATAAATTATTTATTAACTATAAAACATACCTTATAAAATTTTTTAAGTGTTTTAATGCTTAAGTGTGTAATCTAAATAATTATTTAAATAAATCCTAAGGCATTTTTAAATTAAGCTAACATTTATTTTTATTTAATAATAAAACATTGAAGTAATATTATAACCAAAATCTCGAATTAAAAACCCCTTCAACTATAATTAGCTCACGTACTCTCTGTTTCAAACATTCCCAACCACAACAGTAGCTCCTGTATCTGAAAGTTCCTGACCAAAGTTCAGCCAGGATGCCAAGGATATTCAATTAGGCTGCTCATCGGTTGGTGGGGTGCACTAAAATGGTTGGTGGTGGGAGTGTGTGTGTGTATACCTGGAAATCAATGCCAGGAAGCAAAGTTGCTGCTCCGCCTCCAAAGACCAACAAACCAAGCGACGCAAACTGGCAACATAAACCAGATGTTGCGGTCGATGGCCATTATGGAGCTTGTCAATGCCAGAGAGCCATGAGCCATGGGCCATGAGCCATAAGCCAGGCAACTAGCCAGCAGAAGAAGGTGGAGGTTGGAGGAGGTTTGAAGCAGGACCCAGCAGGTCCAAGTCATCCAAGGCAATTACACTGCGACGACAAGGACACCGACGGCAGTTGCCACAATAATACACACACACACACACACTGGGAATCCTTAGTGCGTGCGGTTACTTAATGCTGTTTACCAGGACCCCGGTCCAGCCAATGGCCAGCCACTGACGGCCGGAACTTGTTTGGCACCGGGACTTGGCCACAATATTATTTGCACTTGCTGGGTTTTATACTTGGCCATAACCGTTGCTCTACGCCAAATGGCCCATTGGGGCATTTATGGCCGAGTTCCACGCGCTGTGACAGCGACTGCTACTATTTGCTGTAGTTGCTTTTATTCAATTGCTTTATCTGCTTTAATTAAGAATATTTTTAGCACAGGAAAGGGATATATAAGTGAGGGTTTTTTATATATTATATCTTTTTGTTCAGTTAAGAAACCTTACTCATGTATTATTAGAAAGAATAAATATCCTACTTCCTTCTTTCCTCCTTTTTTAAGGAAAGAACAAGAAAGGAAGCTAACTTCGGTACGCCGAAGTTTGTATACCCTTGCAGATTGGTTTCAATTTTACATTCCCAGCTTTACATATTTTATACATTTACCGATCGCTTCTATGGCAGCTATATGATATAGTTGTACGATTTTTATAAAATTTATACCAAAATTCTAGAATAATAAAAAAAGCTTATATCTGAGAGTAGATAAACATACGTTGAAAAACAACGAAGCTATAATTTTTATACCCTGGCAGGGTATTTTATTTCCAGTCCGAAGCTCATTACGCATTGAAGGTGTCATTTCCGACCCCATAAACCATATATATTCTTGATCAGCATTAGCAGGCGCAAGTCCGGAGGAAAAAAAATTTTAATCAATTTCTTCAAAATTTTATAAGGGGTTACATCATTAAAATTTTCCAAATTTGATAAAATTTTCAATTTCTAACTTAGTATGCAGATTTGTTAACCTTATAAAAACTAACATAACACCGCTTTCCGAATGCAAATTAAGGCATTTTTGACAGAGTTATGCCTTTTTTAGTTTTTAATTTGCTATTTGTCTCTGTTCAATTACAGACTTTCCATCGTCATTGCCATCGCCATCGCTCCTAGTCATCAGTATCAGTAGACCTGACATCCACCCTGGACAAGAACCAAGGGAAAGGACCAACGACACACGCAAAAGGATGGTGGATAAGGGATGGGAATGGAGGAATAGAGATCAGGAATCAGGGATAAGGAGGCTGCCGGCTACTTTTACAACAACAGCAACGAACACAACAAGCAACATTTTAATTTTAAAATACTTTATTTTATTCTTTGTTAATGAACCTAAATAAAAACAATGAAATACATTATTTTATATTATTTTGTTTTCTTTTATTTTTCCTATATAAGAACAATGAAATGAGCATCACTGGTAGTAAGTGAGATGGCATTTTAATGCAAAATAGCTAGATGAGCATCACTGGCAGTTAGTGAAATGCCATTTTCTCCCAATAATGCAAAATAGCTAGATGCGCATCACTGCCGTTAAGCCTGATTTTATAGCCTCCCAATATGGCAAAATAGCTAGATGAGCATCACTGCCATATAGCCCGATTTTATTGCCCCCCCCCAATATTGCAAAATATAGCCAGATGAGCATCACTGATGCACATGAGCACCACTGATGCAAGTGAGCAAAATTTCTAAAATTTGGCCGCATTCCAAACTGGGGTAACAGGCGAACAGAAACCAGCAGCAAGCAACTGAAAACTGGTATAAACTGTTATAAAAACTTTTGGGCAAAAATAATAATTGGTATAAACTGTTATATTGCATTTTATGCATTTATACCTATTTGTTGCCGACAACAACAGCTTGATGGCAACAACAACCTTTTTACAACAACATCCCTACAGCAGCCCATCCAAATTTCCGAACATTTCCATGCAAATTGCCCGTTTCCCAAATTGGGGTAACAGGCGAACAGAAATCAGCAGCAAGCAACTGAAAACTGGTATAAACTGTTATAAAAAGTCCAAGTTTCGAACCATTGATCTTGAAGTAAGCGAAGACTCAAACCAGATGTGACCATATTGTAAATTTTTTGGCTAAAATGTTGCTTAAATGCACCTGGGCACACTGAAACTGACTTTGCATCAGTGATGCTCATCTCCATCAGTGATGCTCATCTAGCTATATTGCAATATTGGGAGGCTATAAAATCGGGCTTAATGGCAGTGATGCTCATCTGGCTATATTGCAATATTGTGAGGCTATAAAATCAGACTTTGCATCAGTGATGCTCATGTAGCTATTTTGAAATATTGGGAGGCAATATATCAGGCTTAATAGCAGTGATGCTCATCTAGCTATATTTCTTTATTGGGACAAAATAGATAGATAGTCTGATTTTATAGCCTCACAATATTGCAATATAGCCAGATGAGCATCACTGCCATTAAGCCCGATTTTATAGCCTCCCAATATTGCAATATAGCTAGATGAGCATCACTGATGGAGATGAGCATCACTGATGCAAAGTCAGTTTCAGTGTGCCCAGGTGCATTTAAGCAACATTTTAGCCAAAAAATTTACAATATGGTCACATCTGGTTTGAGTCTTCGCTTACTTCAAGATCAATGGTTCGAAACTTGGACTTTTTATAACAGTTTATACCAGTTTTCAGTTGCTTGCTGCTGATTTCTGTTCGCCTGTTACCCCAATTTGGGAAACGGGCAATTTGCATGGAAATGTTCGGAAATTTGGATGGGCTGCTGTAGAGATGTTGTTGTAAAAAGGTTGTTGTTGCCATCAAGCTGTTGTTGTCGGCAACAAATGGGTATAAATGCATAATATGAAATATAACAGTTTATACCAATTATTATTTTTGCCCAAAAGTTTTTATAACAGTTTATACCAGTTTTCAGTTACTTGCTGCTGATTTCTGTTCGCCTGTTACCCCAGTTTGGAAAGCGGCTAATTTGAATGAAAAGTTTTGCTCACTTGCATCAGTGATGCTCATTTGCATCAGTGATGCTCATTTGCATCAGTGATGCTCATTTGCATCAGTGATGCTCATTTGCATCAGTGATGCTCATTTGCATCAGTGATGCTCATTTGCATCAGTGATGCTCATCTGCATCAGTGATGCTCATCTGCATCAGTGATGCTCATCTGCATCAGTGATGCTCATCTGCATCAGTGATGCTCATCTGCATCAGTGATGCTCATCTGCATCAGTGATGCTCTATTGGGACAAAATGCATCTTTCTAACTGCCAGTGATGCTCAACTAGCTATTTTGCATTACTGGGACAAAATGGCAACTCTCTAACTGCCAGTGATGCTCATCCAGCTATTTTGCCGTATTGGAGCAAAATGGACCGTTTGTTCAACGGATCTTGAATGTGCTTTAACGTTGTGTGGGAAGACCCTATAACTGTCAAACTGTTTTGTGTGTGTTTTCAGCATTTTATTAATGTTATGAATAAATGTATAACTTTTATATATTTTCTTTTATTATACCCTTGCAGGGTATTATAATTTCAGTCAGAAGTTTGCAACGCAGTGAAGGAGACGTTTCCGACCCTATAAAGTATATATATTCTTGATCAGCATCAACAGCCGAGTCGATCTAGCCATGTCCGTCTGTCCGTCTGTCCGTCTGTCCGTCTGTCCGTCTGTCTGTCTGTCCGTCTGTCCGTCTGTCTGTCTGTCTGTCTGTCTGTCCGTCTGTCTGTCTGTCTGTTTCTACGCAAACTAGTCCCTCAGTTTTAAAGCTATCTGAATGAAACTTTGCATATAGTCTTCTATATGCTCTCACTGCTATATATGTCGGAACGGGCCGGATCGGACGACTATATCATATAGCTGCCATACAAATTTTCGATATATTTGTAGAAAAAAATTAGAACTTTGATGTTTTTCAACATTTTTGCACCATTTTTTAAATATGGCCATTCTATATTATTTTAGAATTTTGGTATAAATTTTATCAAAATCGGACGACTATATGATATAGCTGCCATAGGAACGATCGAGAAATAAATAGGAAAAAAAATTATAGTTTCGTTGTTTTTCAACGTATGTTTATCTACTCTGAGATATAAGCTTTTTTTATTATTCTAGAATTATGGTATAAATTTCATAAAAATCGGACAACTATATCATATAGCTGCCATATAAACCGATCGGTAGATGTAGAGAAAATGTAAAACTGGGAATGTAAAACTGTAACTGTCAAACTGTAAACATAATAAGTATAGGTAAAATGTAATGAAACTCTGTTTTGGAGTGTTTTCAGCATTTAAATCTATAATATAAACATCGAAACCAATCTGCAAGGGTATACAAACTTCGGCGTGCCGAAGTTAGCTTCCTTTCTTGTTTTTTATTTTTAATTATTTAACCAGAATGGCTCGATTCTTAGTGATCCAATTGTTTTCCTATTTCCTTTCTTGTTTTCCTATTTATTTCTCGATCGTTCCTATGACAGCTATATCATATAGTCGTCCGATTTTCATAAAATTTTTACCAAAATTCTGAAATAATATAAAATGGCCATATATCAAAATTGTGCAAAAATATTGAAAAACAGCAAAGTTATATTTTTTTTTCTAAAAATTTATCGGACATTTGTATGGCAGCTATATGATATAGTCGTCCGATCCGGCCCGTTCCGACATATATAGCAGTGAGAGCATATAGAAGACTATATGCAAAGTTTCATTCAGATAGCTTTAAAACTGAGGGACTAGTTTGCGTAGAAACAGACAGACGGACAGACGGACATGGCTAGATCGACTCGGCTGTTGATGCTGATCAAGAATATATATACCTTATAGGGTCGGAAACGTCTCCTTCACTGCGTTGCAAACTTCTGACTGAAATTATAATACCCTGCAAGGGTATAATAACCCCGCCTTTAATCCCGTTTAACCTGCTTTAAATGCTTTGACTTTTTGCCGCCGGTAAATTCTTGTTTACCTCCGGAAAACTCGCGATTTCCCGCTGGGAGTGTCTCTGCCAGGATGTGTGGCAGTGGAGCGATGCGATGGCGGCACATTGTTGCGGCTCAAAGCTGCCACTTTACGTATTTGCATCCCACACAGATTCACCTGATATTGCACCTGCTACTCCTATCGAGTGTGGCTTTAACAGGGGGAGAGGGGAGGGAACTGGCAGGACTTTTAATTGACCAAACTGCCACGGTGTGCACCTGGCACTGGCCACACCTGTGGGAATCAATTGAGATTTATTGCCCGGCGGCAGCGTGTCAATTGTGTTTGCTTTTCTGTTTTCTGTCATCCGCAGTGGACCTTGCAATTAGACGAGTATTTAATTTACAGCAAAAATTTCCATCTAGAACTTGGCCCGAACTCGTTAAGCATTTGTTTGGGGGTAAACTTTGGGCCAGCATAAAATTCCAGCTAAATGTCATTTGCAATTCAAGGGGAATATGGCCTAATTACGATTCCATCTTCTTCTGTAGCTTGATAAACTTTTTGCCACTTTCTCTCTGGTAATATTTGTATCGAAATTTGGTAGCTGCGATTTTCACAGCTTATACTCGGTGTTAGCCAGCTCTTTAATGGCATTTTAAGCGTCTTAATGACTTAATGGCTTTTGCGGTCGTCAAAACGATTTCTGGCGCATCATTGGCCATGCAATTAACTCGAGTATTTCCGCTTTTTTGTTGGTTTGAGCCAAGTGTCCTGTGGTAATTAGTTGGTTGGCAACTACTTGCTAGCTGCTTTTTTCCATTTGTCTGCGGGTGTCCTGCGTTGCTCTTTGCAGCTGACTGTGCGCGAAAATTCATTAAAACTCGATAATTGCATGACAAGACAAGATTCTAGGACTTGGCAAGAGTCCTGGGTTATCCCTTTTGTTGGCTTGGATATCTGGCAAATGGCGGGAAAAAGCAATTGATTTTGGTACTCATGGATAATTGTTTGTTTAAGAAATGCACAAGGAACAATTTTGTATAGCTTTATTAAGGATTGAAAATCAATCTAAAATACTTTATAAATGTCAAACTTTTGCTTTTAAACATCTTTAATATATAAAATAAACTAACAAATCAATTTTTTTTACAAATTGCTCTATTTTCTAATCAAAACATGACTTAATTAGTTTGCTGATTTGCAAATTAATGCAAATGCCACTTGTCTATGTCACAAAATTGTGTTTCATTAAAATAGCTTTCACCTAATGATGACTACTAATTGCATTGGTTATATAATTAAACCCAGTTAGTGCTTTCCAAAACCCCGCTAGAAAGTCAGAGGTCATAAAGGAATTTAACGAAATTTATAAGCCTTTATCCTACCACTCAATCCTTGGGTATAATTTCAGCCTGCGGTTGCCGGAAAGGCAAATTGAATTCTGCCTGGCCGGAGGTCCTATAAACAGGCCAAAACCTATACATTTTCAGCCTGATTGCATTCGGTAAGGAGGAGCAGGAGGGCATGCCAGAAATTATACACAAAAGATAATGCTGGGGCGTACAATTGGATTTCCAGCTGTGCAGCTGGGAAGATGCTGCAGCCGCACACAAACATTCATTTTCCACTCCAGTTGCGTTGGAGCGCATTTCGCATTTCAGCAAAATTTCAATGCGACAGACAACAAGAGAAGACCACGCCAGACGATGGCATTGTTACAGGGACCTTAGCCAGGCAGGAGTGACATTTATCCTGCCGAGCTAACGTCGTCGTTGCTGCTGGGATATTCATTTGCGTAATTAGTGGCCAAGTGGCAGCCGCAACCTGGCATTTAGCTTCAGCCGCAATGTAACAGCTTCGGAATCACCGCAACTGGCTGCTTGATTATTGGCATCAGGAGGAAGACCAGACACCAGGCATCTCCTGGCCAGCCAAAAGGATAAGGCCAGCAACGCAGACAACGGACGTCAGCACAATTGATGGCATACTTCAAGGGGGCAAGTGAGGCAGGTGAAGCAAAGGTGAAAGCGTTGCCTGGAGGCTATTAGACAAGGTCCTGGTTCCTCTACTCCTCAACTACAGTAAAACTTGGATAATTTCCAGTAATCTTCTAAAATTAATATATTTTTTAGAAGTCATGATGAGTTAAAGGATTATTTTACCATTTATGTTGATGAAACTGCTTTAAAATTGTAGTTTTTATAAGCAAAATATAATTATTTATATAAAATATACATTAAAACAGAACTTATATCTCAAAAACTTAAATTTGTTGTAAGTATTTCCCCCAGAAAATAGATTTCCCAAGTACTTAAATACTTACCTTCCCTTTCTATCCTACTTTGTACCCATTTCCGGTGACCAATTACAGGTTCCTCAACGAATTTGTAATTGAATTGCTTTGATTCCGCCCAGAAGGTATTAAGAAAGTATAATTAAATTAGTTTTAAACTGAAAAAGTAACTTAATCAATGTGGCAAGCAAGCGGAAAACTTCATTTCTGGCTGGGGAAAAGGCGACAAGGGGAGAAAAAGGAAAAGCTACGTGAGAGTTACAAGGGCACGCACACAGGCACACAGGGCACAGGCACTGGGAAAAGCGAAAGCAGCAACAACGCCAGGACAGCTACAGGCAAGGACGAGAGAAAAATCGGAAAAGCAGAAGAACAGCAACAGAAACTAAGCAAAACATGAGCGAAACCAAAACAAAAACAGAGCGATTTGCCGGCAAAATGCACGTGACAAAGGGGGAGCCTTCGTTCAGTTATCCTTCGGCCAGGACGAGCGGCAGGACTGCAACTCAACGAAGGAGAGCCGAAGCTGCGCAGAATCCCCGAAAAACGAGCTATAAAAGCGAGACGCCAGCAGGACTCGGAGCATTCGTTTGTCGTCACTCGAAGGAAGAGGTTCCGAGTTCAGAGTTCAGCGGAAGAGAGTCCTGAAAATAAAAGTGAAACTTTAAAGCCACACACACATTGCATATAACATTCAAGTGTGTTTGTGTGTGTGTATTGGTGGCCATGTTTGCCAGTGTTTGTGAGCTGGCCAAGTGGATTTCTATTTCGAAAGCCAGCGTGTGAAGTGCAGTGCAGCCGAAAATAAACTTTAATTGTTGCAAAAAAAAAATAAATAGAAACGAACAAGACTTTAAGGAGCATCGGAAATTGTGGCCCCTGTAACCTTGTGATCCTTGGGACATGTGGAGCAGGCAGCGTATGCGACACAAGCCGCTTTGGGCTTTAATATCCTTGACCGTTTTGCTGCTGGTCTTGGACAAAAGCAATGCCAACACGGAGCCCGTCGAGACCACCACCACATCCGAGCCAGGTGAGTACTAATTGCCCTGCGTACACGTGGTCCTCGGTGACCTTCGTCCTTTGCTCCGACCATGGAAAATAGTAAATAAATTATGACAGGCCTCAAACTGAGCCACTTTATTAAATGGCTTATCACACACGCACAACAACAACAAAAAAAAAGTGAGAAAAGCGAGAGAAGGAAATCCTGTGAGCAAGGCAAATCAGGAAAAGGAAAGCGTACAAGCTGCCAGAGCCTGGCAAACTGCAGAGCGAAGCGCAAAAGCAAATAACTGGCAGCAAATGAAATATTTCACGGCATCTGCGGCACAAAGGCAATCAAAACGAACCGAGAACCCATGGGCAACCTTAATCCCAATCAGAATCAACAAACAAGCAAGGGCAGCGCGAAAAAAGGGCGGAGAAATCGGTGCACTTGGCGAAAAAAAATAGTTTACAATTTCAAGCAGAGATTTTAATTAATTTGCCAAACACGGAATTCTGTGTAAAACATTTTTGTGAAATAAAATATTTTATAATAATTGTTTATATTACTTTGCTGAAAAACAGGAGGATTTTGTATAAATGCGTGAGTTTTCTTAATGTGCAGAATGCAGCTAAAATTCCCAAGTACGAATTTAGTGACTGGTAACCTTGCAAAGCCTTAAAAACTTTATAGACTTTATAAATGTATATATTTTAAAATTTGCAATTAGAATATGAAAATCGATCATAATTAAGTGAAAAATTCATTAATTTTAATTCGGAATGTGTTTCTATGCTAATTTTTATAAGGTTAACAAAACTGCATAGTAAATTTAATAATTTCATAAATAAAAATTTTCGTCAAATTTGGACAATTTTAACGATGTAACCCCTTATAAAATTTTGCGAAAATGGGTAAATTTTGATTTCTTGTAAAACATGTCTAGATTGACTCTGCTGATGATTCTGATCAAGAATATATATGATTTATGGGGTCGGAAATGACTCCTTCACTATATTTTAACATTTTTACTAAAATATAATCTTTAGGAGTAAAAAAATGAAATTCTTCCTATTATTAGAAAAATGTCTTAATAATAATTTCAAATTCGTGCCACAAATATTTCTCGCAGTGCATAAAGGGCACAGCAAATGAAAGGTAGCTCTAGAGCAAAAGGCAATTGCACGAAAGCTGGCTGGTAATGAAGTATGGCAGGCCGTCTGAGGCTGGGTAATAGAAATTAATAGCGTCATGTGTGTAGGTCCTGTGAGGCAAAGGGAAGGGAAAAGAGGGAAAACGAATGGGAGGATAGGTGAGGAGTAGGTACAGCGGTAAGGGGCGGTGTAAAGTGCCCGACAACGACACGCAGATGCGCATAAAGTAATTAATTCACTTTGCCGTCATCCCAATCCCCGTGCGGTCGTCCTTCTAATTTCCCCTAGCATATCGACAGGGGCAGCTGTTGAGCTTTTTTCGTTGTTATTTTTTTATCCCTTTATCCCTTTATTCTGCTACGCAATTTGGTGTTTTTGGCACATATTGCGACTTCTTTTTCGTATTTTGCGCAGTTTTCGTGGCTTAGGACAACCTTGGACCTCTGTCCATGGCTTACTACTGGCTGCAGTTTCAATTTCCACAGCGAATCAAATATTTGGCCCTCGCACATATGAAAGCGAATGGAATTTAATTTACATGACTCACAAATGGAATCCATTTAATGTTGACTTATGACGACCAAGAGACGAAGAGAGAGAGCGACGTCTGGCGATGAAATATGCAATAACCGAAGCAGCAGCAGCAGCAACTAAAAACTGAAAACTGACGGACGGACCAGCAGCAGGACTCCCCGCGTCCTCTGGTTTCTGGGCCTGTCCCATAAATCCTTGTGGCTCCGGGGTTTGTATGATGAAGTTGCACAGTCGACCAGTTAAAAATGCACAGAGGGAAAAGTGTAATGACACAGTTTAGAGTTTAAAGATACAGTATCTCAAGGTACATGGATTTTAAGATACAATTTTGAGGAATTTCAGGTTAAAGGAAAATATTAGTATAAAGTGTATTCCATATTTAAAGATTTCTATAGATATATGTGCAGAAAAAGGTATAGTATCTCAAGGTACTTGGACTATAAGATACAATTTTAAGGAATTTAAGATAATAAGAAAGTATATTGGTACAAGGTTTAATTATGGAATTATTATTTTTTCCTACTTCGAAGCAGTTATTTTCACCAAAAACATTTTTTCAGTGGAAATGCATACATATATGTATGCCTGCTAGTTGCAATCCATGGTCACATGTCTCTCTGCCACATTTTATGTGCTTAAAACAAAGCTGAATCTGCATTATGCATGCAAATGGTATAACCGAGTAACGAACTGTCAAAATCGCAGTTACAGCATAAAAAAGAAGCCAGTGATAAAGAAGCCCGAGCCAGAGCCTCAGCCTGAGCCTGAAACCCAAGGAGCTTGGAGGGGGGAAACCTCATGACAGCAAGTCGCCAGTGCATTATGCATTCGAAGTCGCCTTTCTCTCTATATATATACCGGAGAATATGTGTGCCAAAAGATGAAAGATAACTCGACTTTTTTGCTCGACTCCCCCGAAAAGAAGGCAGAGAGCTCAAGCCCGAGCTCCTGCTGAGTGGGAAATGGTAGTTGAAATGGTAATAGCTCTAGGTATAGGAAGAAACGAGGACTGCTTTTGCTCGACAGAGCATGAATGATTTATAGGACGGCAGCTGTCGAGATGCCAGCGATTATTGGCCAAAAGGAAACCCCTCACAGGTTCAGAATAAAATGGAGTTTATGCCTGAGAATTTACTTTGTATTTCCACGATTAACAGAGTTGCTTTAAATGTCGAGTTCGATTCACTTTCTTCTCACGAGCTTCACTTGAATTTTGTTCTGAGTGCGCAGAGTAATGCCAGCGGTAAAGATAATGGTCTTCGGATCTGTGACTGGCAGGATCTTAAACTCTTTGAGGATGACCACCAGCAGGGTCTTCATTTCCTGCATGGCATACTTTTGACCTGTAATTAAAGATGTTAATAAGTTTCTTACAGGATATAAACTATTTTCTCTTACCAATGCAATTCCTTTGACCAGCACTGAATGGGACATAGGCGTAGGTGTGACGATTCTGGCAATTCTCAGGCAGGAATCTCTCTGGTCGAAATTCATCAGGAGAATCCCAGTACTTAACATTCCTATGTATGTCAAAGACATTTAAAGCGATCTGAGAGCCCTTGGGTAAGACCAGACCATTGGCCAGCTCTGTGTCCTGGACAGCTTCACGACCCATTACGGGAACGGAAGGTAACAGACGGACGGTCTCCTTCATAAAGTAATCCAAGTATTTTAATTTGTTCAGCTGACCAATGTCCAAGTTGCTCAAGTCATCTGAAACGTATTAGGGGTTTATATCGATTCTTAGCATAGCTTGTTTCCCAACTTACCTGATATATGCTCCTGTATCTCCTGGTAGCATTCCTCCTGCTTGTCGGCATACAGACCCATATTCATCAGACCAAAAATAAGGCCAATCGAGGTGGTATCGTAGCCCTCAAACATGAGGGTGTCCACCTCCTCGCAAATGCCTATGTGATCGATTAGGCCATCCTTCTCAGCATAAATCAAGGTGTCCAGCATGGCAAAGCGTTTCTTGGTGGTGAATCTGATTTAGAGAAAAAGATATTTATATATTAACTATAAAGTTATACAGTCTAACTTACACATCATCATCATTCGACTGAGCTTCTTTAAGATTTTCCAATTCATCCTTCAGTAAGAGCCTTCGCTTGGCAATGATTTCACTAGAAAAGCCATGAACCACATTCAAGGCAGCGGCATAATCCTTGGCGGCCAGCAAGTTGAAGAGCCAGTCTCCCCACAAAAAGGGGTTACTCAATCTCCTGGTGAAGCATGCCTCAATTTGACTGAAACTCTCCCGGTAACGATCGCCCTTCTCTGCCATTTCGTCTAATTTGACGCCCATGGCAGTCTCTGTGATTGAAAATAATTATACCTTATGCATATGTATATTGTGTGTAATCATTAATGTATCTCATAATTACCGCAAATGCTGTTGAGCGTAAATCTGGGAATGACATCATTCAAAACAATAGTGGCCTCATCTTTACCCCTAAATTGCTGTAAGAACTTCTGACTCTCCGTTCTTTAAAAGCGTAATTTAAAAATTAAAATAAACATTTTTATTTTATCTTAAAGAAACTCACTTGAAAATCTCCTGGAACTGATTTAATATATTAAAATGGAACGTGGGGGTAAGCATCTTCCTTCGGGAATGCCACTTCTTGCCTGGATACCTAAATATTATTTATAGATTTAAGATAATTCTTTAGGTAACTCACCTGTTGAAGTCAAAAGGCCAGTCCTCAGGAAAGGATATAGAAATTTGTAAAACAGTCCTTTGGTTATAAGGTTCGGATGATTCATAACATTCTCCGCAATTTCCGCATCAATAACATTGTATACCGGTGTACCCAAGTCATATTCAACGAAGCTTTCGCCCATTTCTTTGGCTAGGTCTCGCGAAAGCTTAAATACGCTAGCTGGGTGTTTATTAGAGTATAAAAACAGAGCAGTAAATATTTAAAAACAAGAGATAAGCTATGTAAAGCCAAAGTACTACGAAGACTACCCACCATTATCACAGCCATACAAGTCCAGGGTATTGCCGAATATCGTTTTACCCGGGGCTACGGGTGAAATGCTCTCCGCAGAACGCCCATCCTTTGTGTAAAGCCTCTTGGCAAAGAAGGCCATGACATAGTAGTCCTTGTTGAGCTTGTAGAGCCAGTGCAGCAGCAGGCTCCCAGCCACTACTAGGATCAAAAAGAACATTGTTTTTGTACGAACCGAAACCGGCGACTTGTCAAAGCAAACTGATTGCTACGCTCAAGCCGGGAATGCTTTCCGCTATCAGCCAGTTCCCCTCGCTTTTAATAACAGCAATTACAGAGAGCGGCAAGTGATTAGATAGATATATGTAGACATTTTTATATGCATATATATACTAACAAACAAGACTGAAACACGAGTTCGAAGCTCTCGCTTATAAGGTCTAGCTCTCATATTGTATTTTCCAAATGACTTTGTTGGTGTTACTTAATACTAGGTTTTCTTGAATAAATAGTTGTATTCATACTTCTAATTAAAGTTCAAGATCAACCAGTCAGTTTTGTTCTTAAACATTGCCATAAAAAATGTGCCAGTAAACCAAACATTGAGGAAATTTTCTTCTAAAGGAAATAAGAAAGAAGATAGAGTAGTTTTTGGATAACATTATAATTCGTATTTACAGGATTAACAGAGTATTTTAAGAGTAAAGACCGACTTCGACTCACTTCCTTCTCACGAGCTTCACTTGAATTTTGTTCTGAGTACGCAAGGTAATGCCCGTTGTGAAGACAATGCTCTTGGGATCCGTGACTGGCAGGACCTTGAACTCTTTGAGAACGACCACCAGCAGGGTCTTTATCTCCTGCATGGCAAACTTTTGGCCTAAAAAATGTAGAAGCTTAATTTTTTACAGGATATAGGATGTACGATATTTTCCCTTACCAATGCAATTCCTTTGACCAGCACTGAATGGGACATATGCGTAGGTGTGACGTTTCTGACAATTCTCGGGCAGGAATCTCTCTGGCCGGAATTCGTTGGGGTTATCCCAGTACTTGGGATTGCGATTGATGTCAAAGACATGGATAGTGATCTGAGAGCCCTTGGGCAAGACCAGGCCATTGGACAGTTCCGTGTCCTGGACAGCTTCACGACCCATGATGGGAACCGAAGGAAACAGACGAATGGATTCCTTCATAAAGTAATCCAAGTATTTTAATTTGTTAAGCTGACCAATGTCCAAGTTGCTCAAGTCATCTGAAAGGTATTAGGGGTTTATATCGATTCTTAGCATAGCTTGTTTCCCAACTTACCTGATATATGCTCCTGTATCTCCTGGTAGCATTCCTCCTGCTTGTCGGCATACAGACCCATATTCATCAGACCAAAAATAAGGCCAATCGAGGTGGTATCGTAGCCCTCAAACATGAGGGTGTCCACCTCCTCGCAAATGCCTATGTGATCGATTAGGCCATCCTTCTCAGCATAAATCAAGGTGTCCAGCATGGCAAAGCGCTTCTTGGTGGTGAATCTAGGGAGAAGACAACGATATATAAGATAATTAGTACCAAGACAACCCGCTCCACTTACACATCATCTTCATTAGAATGAGTAGATTGTTGGCTCTCCAGTTCATCTTTCAGTAAGATCCTTCGCTTGGCAATGATCTCGCTGGAGAAGCCATGAACCACATCCAAGGGAGCAACATAATCCTTGGCAGCCAATAAATTGAAGAGTTTGTCTCCCCAGAAGAAGGGGTTGCTCAATCTCCTGATAAAGCACTCCTCAATTTGGCTGAAATTCTCCCGGTAACGATCGCCCTTCTCTGCCATTTCGTCCAGATTGACACCCATGGCAGTCTCTGCAGTTAGGAATTATTAATATTATATATAATTCATAATTCATTTTTATATAAGATGTACCACAAATACTGTTGAGAGTAAATCTGGGAATGACATCATTCAAGACAATAGTAGCCTCATCTTTGCCTTTAAACTGCTGCACAAATTTCTGGCTCTCCGTTCTAAGAAGGGGAATTTAGTAATTAAATTTAATATTTTACTTTATATTTAAGAACCTCACTTGAAGATCTCCTGGAACTGATTTAATATATTAAAGTGGAACGTGGGAGTAAGCATCTTCCTACGAGCATGCCACTTTTTGCCTGGAAAATAAAATATATTGTATAGATTGAAGAGGTAAATATAACGACAAACTCACCTGTTGAAGTCAGCAGGCCAGTCCTTAGGAAGGGATGCAAAAAGTTGTAGACCAAACCCTTGGTTATAAGGTTCGGATGATTCATAATATTCTCTGCAATTTCCGCATCTATAATATTATATATAGGGGTACCCATGCCATATTCAACGTAGCTTTCCTTCATTTCCCTGGCACGAATTCGCGAGTGATTAAAAATACCAGCTGAGTGTTTGATAAAAATAATTAATAAAAACAATAGCAGACATACGATTAACACGAGATAAGCCATGCCAAATCAAAACACCTCGATTACCCACCATGATCGCTGCCATACAAGTCCAGGGTATTGCCAAAGATAGTTTTACCCGGGGCTACGGGTGAAATGCTCTCCGCAGACCTTCCATCTTTCGTGTAAAGCCTCTTGGCAAAGAAAGACATTACATAATAGTCCTTGTTGAGCCTGTAGAGCCAGTGCAGCAGCAGGCTCCCAGCCACGATTAGAATCAAAAAGAGCATTATTGTTGTACGAACCGAAACCGTCGACTTCTCAAATCAGACTGATCGTCGTGCTCGAACCGGGGGGTGCTTTTAGCTATCAGCCGGTTCCATTCACAGCGAATACAACACCACCGACTAACAGCAATTACGTATACACTGAGAACTGATTAGATAGATATTTGTATATATATGCTAGTAGTTCACAGTCGAGTTCACACAACATACATATTATACTGTCTCGGTTTTTATAGTTCAATAAATGCATCGAACTGTTGTGGGAAGGCAAAGATTGATTTACAACAAACTGGTTTCACTCAAAACTTTATTAAAATTCTGATATATAGTTTACTTTTTGTGAGCTTGTACGCTGCGCTTTTCATATCTTGTGATATCTTTTTGGAAAATTTGAAATACGTTTCAGCATTGTCATTGTTAGAAGGCATATTCTTGGTCATAAAATGTGTCTATTGGACTTTAAAGATTAAAAATGAACCTAGAAATCAGAAGCTTTTTGCAATCTTTTTATGAAATATTAAATTAGCTTCGTCATGATGACGAGGCTTAATATTTTACAAATCAGGCCAAGTAAACTGTTAAATTTGTAAAGTTCGTGAGTAAAAAATACATTTATTATTATACTACTACTAAAAATATTTCTCCTTTTATAAAATCCTCTTATGAAGGTGAAATTCGGTAACAATATCAACAGTCGAGTTAATCTAGCACTGCGCGTGTCCTATAATTTAGTTGTCTTCAAACATATATACTATTACTCATATTGTTTAATGGTTTTATGGTTTTTTATCTGTTAATGGAAAATAGAAATGGAAAATTTCCTTTTGAAGAGAATAATAAAGAACTAGGAGAAGTTTTTGGATAAGAATATAATTCGTATTTACAGGATTATCAGAGTATCTTAAGAGTAAAGGCCGACTTCCACTCACTTCCTTCTCACGAGCTTCACTTGAATTTTGTTCTGAGTGCGCAGGGTAATGCCCGATGTGAAGACAAGGCTCTTGGGATCCGTGACTGGCAGGACCTTGAACTGCTTGAGGATGACCACCAGCAGGGTCTTCATTTCCTGCATGGCATACTTTTGGCCTAAAAAAAAAGATGCAGAAGCTAAATTTCTTACAGAATATATGATATAAGACATTTTCCCTTACCAATGCAATTCCTTTGACCAGCACTAAATGGTACATAAGCGTAGGTGTGACGTTTCTGGCAGTTCTCTGGCAGGAATCTCTCTGGCCGGAATTCGTTGGGATTATCCCAGTACTTGGGATTGCGATGGATGTCAAAGACATGGAAAGTGATCTGGGAACCCTTGGGCAGGACTAGACCATTGGACAGCTCCGTGTCCTGGACAGCTTCACGACCCATGATGGGAACCGAAGGAAACAGACGAATGGATTCCTTCATAAAGTAATCCAAATATTTTAATTTGTTCAGCTGACCAATGTCCAAGTTGCTCAAGTCATCTGGAAGGTATTGAGGGGTTTACATTGATTCTTAGCATAGCTTGATTCCCAACATACCTGCTATATGCTCCTGGATCTCCTGGTAGCATTCCTCCTGCTTGTCGGCATACAGACCCATGTTCATCAGACCAAAAATAAGGCCAATCGAGGTGGTGTCGTAGCCTTCAAACATCAGCGTATCCACCTCCTCGCAAATGCCAATGTGATCGATCAGACCATCCTTTTCAGCATAAATCAAGGTGTCTAACATGGCAAAGCGCTTCTTGGAGGTGAATCTGGGTAGAAGATATTGATGTGTAAGATAATTAATACCAAGACAACCCGCTCCACTTACACATCATCTTCATTAGAATGAGTAGCTTGTTGGCTCTCCAGTTCATCCTTCAGCAAGACCCTCCGCTTGGCAATGATCTCGCTGGAGAAGCTATGCACAACATTCAAGGGAACGACATAATCCTTGGCTGCCAGCAAATTGAAGAGTCTGTCTCCCCAGAAGAAAGGGTTACTTATTCTTCTGATGAAACACTCCTCAATTTGGCTGAAATTCTCCCGGTAACGATCGCCCTTCTCTGCCATTTCGTCCAGATTGACACCCATGGCAGTCTCTGCAGTTGTGAATTATTAACATAATATATATTGAATAATTAATTGTTATTTGAGATGTACCACAAATACTGTTGAGCGTAAATCTGGGAATGACATCATTCAAGACAATAGTAGCCTCATCTTTGCCATTAAACTGCTGCACAAATTTCTGGCTCTCCGCTCTAAGTAGGGGACTTCCGTAATTAAATGTAATTATTTATACTATATTTACGAAACTCACTTGAAAATCTCCTGAAACTGATTTAGTATGTTGAAATGGAACGTAGGGGTGAGCATCTTCCTACGGGCATGCCATTTCTTGCCTGAAAAATTAAATATTATTTATAGATTGAAGATAATTCCATACGAAACTTACCTGTGGATGTCAGAAGCCCAGTCCTAAGGAAAGGCTGTAGGAAGTTGTAGACCAAACCCTTGGTTATAAGGTTCGGATGATTCATAACATTCTCAGCAATTTCCGCATCTATGATATTATATATGGGCTTACCCATGGCATAATGAACGTAGCTTTCCTTCATTTCCTTGGCACGATTTCGCGAGTGATTAAACACAGCGGCTGATTTACAAGAAAAAATTGGAAAAATGTTATAAGCATCAGATAAGTCAATAAGTACCACGATTATCTACCATTATCGCAGCCATACAAGTCCAGAGTATTCCCAAAGATAGTTTTACCCGGGGCTACGGGTGAAATGCTCTCCGCAGACCTTCCATCTTTCGTGTAAAGCCTCTTCGCAAAGAAAGCCATAACATAGTAGTCCTTGTTGAGCCTGTAGAGCCAGTGCAGCAGCAGGCTGCCAGCCACGACCAGAATCAAAAAGAACATTTTTTCTGTACGAACCGAAACCGTCAACGTCTGAAACCAAACTGATCGCCGTGCTCGAGCTGGAGATGCTTTTAGCTATCAGCCGGTTCCATTCACCTTTTATACAACACCAGACTAACAGATAGTTATATGTATGTGTATGTTAGTAGTTCACAGTTCACACAACATACATATTATACTGTCTCGGTTCTTATAGTTTAATAAATGCATCGAACTATTGTGGGAAGGCAAAGATTGATTTACAACGAACTGGTTCCACTCAAAACATTATTCAAACTCTGATATATATTTTTAGCGGCATTTAATTTGTTTACATTTTGTGAGTTTGTACGCTGTGCTATTCATATCTTGTGATATCTTTTTGGTAAACTTGAAATACGTTTCAGCATTGTCATGGTTAGGAGGCAAAAATGTTTGGTCATAAAATGTTCTGTCTATTGGACTTTAAAGATTAAAAACGAACCTAGCTATCAGAAGCTCCCTGCAATCTTTTTACGAAATACTAAATTAGCTTAGTCATGATGAGGAGGATAAATATTTTTAATTGTAAAATGTGTAAAGTTGAAAGTATGGTTATAAATGATAAATATAAATATATACATATACTTTATTAAAAAAGAAAAAGGAAAATTTGGTAAACAAAAGCTTAATATATTTTTTGTTTATTTGTTTATATGGTCATGACCATGACCTACCTTATTTTCTGAATTCTTTTTTATTTATGTATGAACTCAAAAATAAACAAACTAAACTGTAGTGAACTTAACAGCTGCCCAAAAAGTATAGACCCGCCGGAGAGTATGCAATTAATACCAGGATTTATATGTATTTATAAATATATATATATTTATATATATATATTCTCTTTTAAGAACTAAACAAAACACAGTTCAATCTGATGAAATCTGTATACAAAATATGAAATTTATTTATTATTGCTACTCATGATTTCAATATGAATATGAATACATTTCACAATGCTAAGAAAAATCATGGCAAGTACAAAGTACTTAATCCAAATTGGCACTTGTAAATATACTAAATATATAATCTCCTTAAAACGATGAGCTATATAAAAATCACTGCCGCCTCACTAGCTTGACTTTTATTGTGTCCTTGAAGCGCAGGGTTATCCCAGTCTGAAAGACAATGGACTTGGGATCGATAACGGGCAGAATCCTAAACTGCTTGAGGATGACCACCAAAAGGGTCTTCATCTCCTGCATGGCATACTTTTGACCTGTAATTATAGAGGTTGCAGTCATGGAATATAAATTATATTATATTTTCCCTTACCAATGCAGTTTCTTTGTCCAGCACTGAATGGGATATAGGCATAGGCATGCCGGTTCTGACAGTTCTCGGGCAGGAATCTTTCAGGACGAAATTCCTCAGGGGAATCCCAGTACTTGGGATTGCGATGGATGTCATAGACATGTATATTTATTTGGGAACGCTTGGGCAGGATGAGACCATTATCCAGCTCGGTCTCCTCGATGGTCTGACGACCCATTATAGGTATAGAGGGATACAGGCGCATGGTCTCCTTTATAAAGTATTCCAGATGTCTCAGTCTAGTCAGCTGACCCATGTTCAGGTTGCTCAAGTCGTCTGGAAAGGGAGTTTTATAAGTGTTATATATTTTTCATAATTTAAACAATTTACCCTCTATATTCTCCTGTATTTCCTGGTAGCACAGCTCTTGCTGTTCAGCATAAACCGACATATTTAGCAAAGCAAAGAGCAGGCTTATAGAGGTGGTATCATAACCCTCGGCCATCAGAGTGTCCACCTCCTCACAGATGCCTATGTGATCAATGAGACCATCTTTTTCTGCACAAATCAAAGTGTCCAGCATGGCAAATCGCTTCTTTCTGACTACACACCTGTGATACAAATATTCAAATTAAAATCAAATTAAATACTATATCAGAATTATCGAGGCTTTACACACATATCATCATCAGCTGTTTGAGTGGCTCTTCTGTACTCCAGTTCCTCTTCTAAGAGAACTCTCCTCTTGGCTATTATTTCACTGGAAAAATCATGGACCACCTTAAGAGCTGTTTCATATTCCCGGGCTGCAAACAGGTTGTACACGCAGTCATCCCAAAACAGAGGATTACTTATGCGGCGAATGAAGCTCTCATCTATGCGGAGGAAGTTCTCCCTATAACGATCGCCCTTCTCAGCCATTTCATCCAGTTTAATGCCCATGGCAGTTTCTGTTATATACAAAAATATTTCAGTTAAATGATCCTTAACAAAAATGATATATAAATTACCACATATGCTGTTTAGGGTAAATCTGGCCAGGCGATCTTTCAGCGAGACAGTGCACTCATTTTGGCCTTCAAACTGGTCAACAAACTTCAGGCTTTCCGCTCTAAAATAACAAGTAATTATCAATGATTATAGTAAATAACACATTATTAAAATATAGGCTATTTAATACCCACACAAAGATCTCTTGGAACTGGTTCAGTATATCGTAATGAAAGGTTCTGGTCAGCATGTTTCTGCGTTTGTGCCATTTCTTTTCTGTCAGGGATTAAAAATATAAATATACTGTAGAAAAGAGAGTACAAATTCATTGTTTACCTGTGGCTGTCAGCACTCCCGTTCTGAGGAAGGGATGCAGAAAATTATAGATGGCACTCTTGCTTATAAGGTTGGGATGATTCAGTATATTGCCTGCATTGTGGGCATCGATAACGTTGTAACTGGACCAGCCCATGGCATACTGGAGATAGCTCTCGCGGCACTCTCTTGCCTGTTTACGAAGGTGTTCAAAAACTCCCGCTAAATCAATAAAAAAACGCGTCGGTAATGTGAGTATTTAAGATAAGAAATTTCGTCTGATGTCAAGGTTCGTTTAGGTTAGTGCGATTGCTCACCGGCGTCTTTGCCAAACAAGTCGAAGCTATTGGCGAATATGGTGCGACCCTTGGGCATGGGCAGCATACTCTCCAGGGGCCTGCCATCCTTGGTCCTCACTCTCCTGGCCAAGCCAGCCAGTATATAGTAGTCTTTGTTTACTTTGTAGGTCCAGTGCACGAGCACACTTAGGGCCACCGAGAGCCAGAGCAACCAGATCATCGCTGCTACTACTAGAACTGTATCCGAGCGAGTCACACTCAATACTGCTCGGAGGAGGGTTTTTCGTTCCACGCTAGATTTTCTTTATCAACCGGTTTCGTTTTAAAACACCACACACGGTCCGCAGCCATAACTGATTAGATTTTACTCTGGACATATGTATATATATTCGGTTATGTATCGTATGTTTGTTTGTTCGCTCAGCTGGCGTCGATTTCGGGTCGCGTTCAGCCGGAGGGATTGGGTTCTCGGTGGTTTTAATCGATGTTTTTTTAGGTTTATAGTTGATGAAGTGAGTTCTAGAGGGAGTAAGTGTTAGTGAAAATTAAAGGGGGTTTGATTTTTAGCTAAATATATAATAATTAATAACTAATTAAGTCTTCAAATGCTTTTAAGAGTCATCATTTAATTGCACTTTTATTGTTAGCAGGCTTAAAACTTTATTTATAATGTTTGTAGTGAGTTTTAAAATGTCTTTTTAGTTGCTTTTGATGTTTAAAAACACTTTACAATGAATTTTGTATTTTCAAATAAATAAAACTTTAATTTAGTCTAACTTTAACCTTATATAATTAGTCTGTAACTGCATTTTTCTTTAAATATATAAATGCACTTGACTTGTTAACATACCTAATGCCATTACATATAAGGGAAAACAACCTTTTTCCTTTGTGAAAGTTGCAATCAACTAAGTGCAAGGATGCCCCTTGGTCATGGCACATTTTTCCTTTGCCATTTTTGCATCGACAGCTAATTGGCAATGGGATTTCATCAATTACAAGGAATGCAGTTATTCCATTCGCCAGAGCTATAGTATTTCACTCGACCTACTTTCTGACAAAGTACATGACACATTACGGAATAAAAGGGGGTACAAAAAAGGGAGGTGGAGCAGGGGAGCAGGAGGACCAGGAGGACCACGAGTACCAAGACCAAGAGCAGGAACTGTACTGAAAAGCGAGAGTTTTACTCAGAGCCGGAGAAACTTGAGGCTGCCGTCGGCGATTACGAAAAGCTAACTGAAGAGATGGAAATGGCGGAAAATGCAGTCAGTCATGGCTGCGAATCTGACAGAAACTTCTCCGTATCCCCCATTCTGTTTCAGGTTGAGCAGACAGAGGACTGAACTCCAGCTGCCTCTCATGTAAAATTGAAACTTGAACTGTGCGTTTGTCCTACGACCTTTTCTCTGGCTTTCTCTGCATCCTTTCGGCAAGGAAGGTTCCCCTCTTTTCCCTTCTGATTACTTGCCAAATGCATATTGGAAATTTGCAATTTCGATGGCACTCGAAAAGTCAGAGCGGAAAGTTCACCGAGCCGGGGCCAAGTTATTAAATTAGATCACATATGAAATATTTATGGCAAGAGTTCCTGAGTTGCACCGCCGACTGGCTTGAGTTGAAATTGCATTACCTTCAGTCAAGCCGCAATCTTCGGTGGATAAGTTTATATACAACACTGAGCAGAATCGGGGGATTAAAAATGATTACTTAATGTCTTAAATATAATATATTTTAGTTAGGAAATTCGGGTTTTCAAAATGTGTACTTAAATTCCTTAAATACTTGAATAAACGTGGGAATTTTCGTCTTTTTTGCTTAAACAAATATTAAAACTTGCCTGGAATCTCTTAAGTTTCATAATTAATACTTACAACCCCTTAAAAGCTTACTTTTCTTGCAGTGCACTTATTTTTCGGTTTCCATTATCCCATTCCCAGATGCCTCGCCAGGCTGCCGGGCCCCGGATGTGCGCTTCACGATTGTCAAGCCGGAAGCCACCACAGAGCAGCCGTTGGCCAAGTTTGAGACAACGCAGGTCTACCTGCCAGAGGATTTCACCACGGCGGATGTGGAGTTCATCGATTCGGTGCCACGTCATCCCAGCGAGAATCATGCGGCCGTAATCAATCCATATTCCTTGGACCTGGGCGATGACCATCTGCATGTGGGCGATGCTGCAGCCAGTTTGGTGGGCGATGATGACCTGGGCGATGAGGATGAGGAGCTTCATGATGACACCAATCCCGACAAGCGTCTGAATAATAACCGCAAGCAGGGCAAACGACGTCGCTCGGGTTCTGGACGCCGCCGGCGGATTGAGAATGATAATGGCCAAACTGGTAGAGGACGTGGCAGTCGGTACAAGCGCCATGCCATCCTCCATGATGCCGAAGCCTCGCCAGATACGGATCGCTGGGCGGGCAGCAAGCTTGCCGCCGAGGGTGATGTCTACTATGTCCATATAGCTGATATCCTGAAGAGCCGGGAACCCAATCGTGAGCTAAAGTCCAAGCTGCACAAGCTTAAGATGAAGGCCAGGATGAACAAGTGTCTGAAGGATGGGGACAAGGAGAAGTGCATGAAGCTGTTGCAAAAGAAGCCCAAGAAGAAGGCTGCCAGGCAGGAGGAAGCTCTCAAAAAAGAGAAGAAGATAACCAAGGAAGAGAAGAAGCTTTCAAAGGAAGAACAGAAGCTGTCGAAGGAAGTACATCCCCTGAAGGAAGTTCCAGAGGAGGAGGTAGATCAACACCAGGAGTCCGGACATCACCGTCGACGCGGCGACAGTCACGCTGCAGAGCTCGACCAGCGTGACTTGAGTCCGCGTTGGCGGCAACGACGCAGCACCGAGTCCAAGGGCGATCTCGGCCAGCTGCCGGAGATGGGACCACAGCTCCCCTCCGAGGAGGAGCTGCTCCAGCAATACGGAAATCAGTCGAGCAGTGCACGAGTGGCCCTGTTGTGGCAACGTGTTAAGCGCAAGTCGGGCAAGACCACGGGTGCACTGAGCCGTCCGAAGGGTGGTGGCGACTCTAGCTCCAAGACCACCAGTCGCAAGGATAAGGGTAAGTGTGCGTCCGCACGGCGGCCAGACACTGGCAATGCCACAGTGCCCAATTCCTACGACGGACTTTTAGCCGCTGTCGCTGTCTCGTTGTCTGTCTGTCCGTCCGTGTCGCGCCTCCCCCCTCTCCACCCTGGAAACGGGAGTGGCGGATTTTCCACCACCTCAATGTCCTTGCAAAAAGGTTATGATTGGTTGCAGTTGCTGATGCTCCTTGGTGGTCCGATTTCTTTAGCAGCGAAACTAAGGGTTTTTAGAAAGTAAAAATTAAATGAAATAATTATTTATAATTAAAATTTGGATAGGTTGTAATACTCATAAGACCTTAAAGGTTTTTAAATTCCATAACGGGTTTATTTAGCTTTACTTTCAAGCCATTTACTATATCAGAAAATATATGTACCTTTTACCATAAAATTGAACTATAACCTGTACCTAGTGATTTCAGCTCTTTCTTTTGCTTTCAATCTCTTGTATATAATGTATAAAAAATGTCTAAATTCGGCTATATATTAAAACCGCTTTTGCAAGGGCATTTAAACACATGAAAACACACACACACACACCTGTACAACCTACACCTGAACATAAACGGAAGTTTGGAGAGCCGAGGACACACCGAACATACTCGTAAAAGCTAATCGCAGTCACAGCCAAAGCCACAGCCATCGCATAGCATCCCAGCCATATAGCTCATCCCCCCTTATAGCTCCAAGTTCACACCTGCACCAGGCACCTGTACTAAAACCTGTAACCCCTCATCCGTAACCCCTAGACCGTACTTTGCTCGCTGCCTTCCTTGGGCTTTTCATTACTGCCGCCATGGCATGGTCATGGTTTATTTGGCCTTCCCATATCTTTGTCGTGGTCGTTGGGAGTTCAGAGTTCGGGGAACCACTCTTTGTTGGCGGTTGGCGGAGGTCCTTTGTTATGGCCGGAATGATTTTCCTTTTGCCCGCCTTTGTTTGCCTTGCAACCGGGCGGGCTCCTACAATGGCTCCGCTTTTGTCCGTAACCGTGGCTATATCCGTCTCCGGCTTGGGATAGAGATTCAGCTTCAGCTTCCAGCTCTAGCTCTAGCTCCACCTCCACCTCCTGCTCCTGCTCCTCCTTCGCCCTTTCCCTTACTGCCCCTTATTCTTTCTATTTTCTATTAAGCAGCCCCCATTTCTGGCATAATATTATCTTTCGTGTTATCTTTGCCTTTTCACATCTCCCTTTCTCAGTTTTATTTTATTTTTTTGTGATGGGTCTGCTGGAAAATGAAGTTGTATCCTGTTAAGTAGCCACTTCGCCAGCCTTCTGGTTTTCTTTTAATGCATATCTAAGCACTTGAAGTTTTCCGCTGGCAGCACTTTTCGCACGTCCCTTGGCTTTCAATGGGACTAATGTGGCTGCTGCTCAAGGGGATGGGCTTTTTTTCCGGTCTCAATTCCTTAGTCAAGTTTTGGGTCAACACCCAAAAGGAACTGCACTTCATCAGCATAGTTCATCATCATCATCAGAGCATCCACATTCTCATTTCATTCGCATGCCGCTCGACGGCTCATTAGATGCTTGCTCTATTTGCTCAACTCCCCCCTCTTAACGTCTATCTACCCCACCCCTGTTTCTTGGCATGGTACATTGCCCATCTCACGACGCCCACACCTTCTGCTCTTCTCGTCCCGGTTCGCTTATCCAGGTATCTATGACGAGGACTCTGGCTACACGCCCATTCATCCCGATGACGCCGAGTTCGATGAGGACGAGGAGGAGGACGAGGAGGTGGACATCCTGCAGCAGTTCACCGAAGTCTCCGAGATCCGTTTCCCGGGCGAAATAGGACCCATGGGCGATCGACGACTTTGCAAGATCCGTTGTGTCAAGGGCAAGTGGGTGGGTCCGCTTTGTGCCACCAACGAGGAGGGTAAGTGAGCTATACACCAGCGCACACACAGCTCACACACACACACACCAGCACAGCGACAATAGCACAAACAGATACTTAGTTGCAGTTGCAGATACATAGCTCCAGTTAAAGTTAAAGATACAGATACACTTAAGTCACACACAAACACACTAACAAGTTGCGAATTCATTTGTATTTCATACGCAAATAAAGCCAACTCAATCAGCGCACAATCAAACAAAGGACACAATCAGATTGTTGTTTCATTTAAATCCACTTATTGTTTTCATCAATTAAAAGTACACAGGGAAAAATGCATAACATCTACTATAATTCTGTTTTACACGAAAGGGGTTGTCTAAAAAATCTTTATGGTTTTTAAATCCCTTAAAAATGTGTCTAAAAGTATGCAATAAAATGTTACTCAAAGTACGTTTGGTATAAAATAGATACAAAATTATTACCTATCTTCAATTAGCCTAAAATCCCATCTAAAAGTGTGTTGCACCATTTTATAGCAGTGTATAGCATACACATGTACTTTCAAGCTTTGATAAATATTTTATTGCCTACTTTTGGTCATATTCCTAATTGATTTCAAATCGCTTTCAATGAAATACCCCAAAGACTTATCCAACAACCTCACTTTAAGAATATAAACTTATAAAAAGTACCCAAATGATGACCGTTTCCGGTGATATTCTCTCTCTGTGCGTCAATATCTATATCCCCCTCCATGCAGACGATAATGGGAACGTGAAGTTCCAGCCGCTGTACAAAAGCTGCCACGTAAACCGGATACCGACGCACCTGCTGCTCAGCTACCGCAACATTTCAGTGGTAAGTGGTTAGAGAGCTCGAAGGTCGAGGGTCGAAGGTCGACAGATCCTTCGACAAGGATCACCTGGCTGCCGCACGAAAAAAATAAAAAAAACAACACAGCAAAGCAAAAGCACAGCACAACACATACATGCAAAGCACACACGCACACCGGTACACCATATGCATATATACGTTTTTGTAGATTTCCGGACTGGCCGATTTCCGGAGAGCCTGCGATACGCCGATAAAACTCGATTGGGCGGATATCTCAACTCCGTTATCGATTCCGAGTTCGATCTCCACTCTCTGTCTCTGTCTTCTCGCACCAAAACAGTATCCCTATCTCTATATTTCGCTCTCTTTCTCGCTCTCTCTCTCCTCCTCTATCTATCTTCTCATATCTCAAAATCTCAATCTCAATCTCAATCTCAACCTCAATCGCAATCGCTAATCTCAAACGCAAAAGCAGCGATCAAAGCCATCTGCATGTTGAATGCTCGAGAATCGGGCGAACTATATCAATCGATCCTATAGAATGTGTGTTTTTTTGGTACTCTCTGATTCTCTCTCTTGCAGACACCGATCCCACCAAATCGCGGCTGGCGTAAAACGCGTTTATCCAAATCGACACTTCTCTCAAATACAGAAATTGTGAGTCGTCGTTGTAGCTGTTGTGTAGATTTGCACCAGATACACACTCAGCCCAGAGCACTAAGATATAATACACCCACTCGAAACACACAGACACCCAAGAAACACAGCACACAGGAGTTACAGATACCCAGATACACCCGAGATAGATACAGATACAGATGCGAGGAACTGCACGCCAGAGCAACCAGAGAGCCGCTTTCCCCAGTTCGCGGGAGCATCTAATTTTTGTGATAACTTTCTCCACTTTCTCTCTCTCTCTCTCTCTCTCTCGTTCCTCTCTTTTCTCTATTACCTCCTCTATCCCTTTGCCCCTTCTCTTGGCTTTCCTTTACCCTCTTTAGAATGTGGGCTGGGATCTACCGCATGGACACTCTCTGCAGGCTCGCTGCCAGGAGCTGGGCATTTACAAGCTTCTGGGGGAATCACGGGTTCTGTGCTCCAATGGTCTCTGGGCTCCCCGGATGCCCAGCTGTGTGCCCACCACTGTTTTGACCAATTATTCCGAGGACAGTGCTCCTTCCATACGCATCAAGATCTTCAATGGCTCGCACTCCTTTGAGCCCTCGGGTGTGATGGCTGTTCCCCCTCACAGCACTGTGCTCATGGACTGCATGTATCCTCGAGTAAGAGGCACCCCCGAGTGGAGCTGGACCAGCTGGTATATGCAGTACTCTACAGGTAAGACAATCATTAATGCCTTATGAAGGGTGAACCACATGATATTCCTTCCAGGATGGTCCCCCGCCCAAGAGGAGAAGGCCGTTCGCTATCGTCTGAGCATTAAGAATATTGAGAATAATGATTCCGGCACCTTTACCTGCACTTCACCAAGAGGTCTGACCAACAGCATTGCCGTTGTGGTGGCCACTTCGACGTGTCCGCAGCTAACAGAGCCGCTGGCGCCGCTCAAGCTGCGCCTCGAGGGCAACAAGCTGGGCCAGCGGGCGCACTACGAGTGTCCCGAGGGCTTTCGGCTAGACGGCGCCTGGAATGCCACCTGCCTGGCCTCCGGCAATTGGTCATCGCCGACGCCGACCTGCCATGCCATCCAGTGTCCGCGTTTGGAGCTGGATGATCCGCACCTAAGCCTGATCGAGCTGAATACGTCGGCATGGGGGCGGGCGGTGTTCAAATGCCAGTGGGGCTTTAAGCTGACCGGACCGGCGCAGCTGGACTGTGAGCCGTCGGGCGTCTGGAGTGGCCCCGTTCCACGTTGCAAAGGTGAGGGATTAGAGTGGGGGGAGGGGTCTTAGAATTTAAAATATCCTTTGATTCTTTTACTAAAACATAATTATAATATTTTGAACTAACTCACAAATCCTAATGTCCCATTTTGCTGCCCAATACCCTTCCTTTTTCTTTTGGATCCTCGACCGCAGTCATCCAGTGCGTGATGCCAGTGGCGCCGCTTAATGGCCGGATTGGTGGAACCAGCCTCAGCCAAAGGCGACTCACCGTCGGCGCCCTGGTCACGTTCAGCTGCAACGACGGTCACAGCCTGGTGGGGGAGTCGAGCATCATCTGCACGGAGAATGGACAGTGGTCGCATTCGCCGCCATTTTGTAAGTAGCCACTACGCCACTCCACCACCACACCCCACACACACTCACTGACATAAATATATATGTCCGTAATGTGGATGTGCGTGCGCTGAGTAACCATAACCCCCGGGAGAGATTCCCGGCGCACCGCTCCACCTACAACTCCTCCACGTGGACCCCATTAATGACTCTTGTGTGTTGTATTTCCGCCGATCTTGATACCGATACCGAAAACCGTTACCGAAAACCGATACCGAAACCGAAAACCGATACTGATACCGATATATCCGCTAACCGATACCGCTCACGATAATCATCACATCACATAATCATCGTGCACGAAACATGCATGACTTGCCCGCCCACTGACCATCCACGATCTCAGGCAAATCGCAGTGCCCGTATCCGGGTGACCCGGCCAACGGCCTGATAGCGCCGCTCAAGTTTAACTACGACGCCGGAGACTACCTGAGCGTCCAGTGTCGGCCCGGATTTGTCCAGAGTTACGAGGGTCCGCCCGAGCGGCCCAAATGCCAGCCGGATGGCCGGTGGTCTGGTCCGCTGCCCAAGTGCAAGAGCTACGAGGAGGTGTAACCTCCAGATATCTAAAACGAAACCGAAAGTCAGAGGAAGCAGCCCAAAAGGATTCGCCGGATCATCGCCAGGCAGTAACTCCAAAGAAAAATACAGAACGAAACCGAGTGATATTTAGATTAACTTAGTGAGAGGTATCAAAATTAATAGATATTTTATCAGGTTAGGTTCAATTCAAGTCGATATCTTTTAGAATCTCTCCTCTGCAGCTTTTGAAAAAACTATGTATGTAATCTATAAACAGATCCAGTTCAAGATCAGGCACACCCCCACACACCCCCCACACTCTACACACACAAGAAATTTGTTCTTTGCGCTTGCATTTCCATCTTGTACTAAATCTACTAATCAAAGAATTATATAACCAACAGCTAGTACAGGTATTTATGTATTACGTATATTCTGGTTGCAACTCCAAGTTACATAAATGTAAATGTTTAAAACGAAAAACGAACAAATACAACTTACCCACAGTGCGAAAATACAAAGATTAACGATTCTCTATTCCACCATAACGAATGTATTACACTGAGAGGCAGGAAGGTAGGTTGCAGCGGCACTTGTTGGATGAGTTAATTAGTTAGGAGCTAAGCAGGGACAGGAGCTAAGCAGGGGCAGTCATATCCTTTAATTATTCCGTGTAGACCACAGAGAAAGAGAGAGAGAGGAGCATAGGTAGGTGCGTGTAATGTGAGCAGCTGCAATCTTTTTTGTGTAAAGAAAAGACCGTTTTAAAATAAAAATACGAATATTGTGTAAAATGCAATGCTCCAGTGTCTTTAAATGTCTCCAAAGGGGGGTATGGAAGGGAACACCTGCTGAAGCCGGAGGGGACACCAAACCATATCCGTGAGCTCAGCGTGAAAACTGTGCCAAGGAAAGCCATATGCACGTGCTTGTTTCCCTTTCGCCTAAGCCAGTTGCTAATGCGAGCACAGGAGCAAAATATCCAGCAGCAACATTTACAGCAGCAACATCGAAAGCGGCATCAGCGGCAAAAGCAAACATTTACTTCATAAATGTGCGCGGCACTGGGAGAAATAAATATATATTATTTCAGAGGAAAAAAAATATGCTACAAATATTTTGGGTTCTTAAATTTTGTGCTTTTTAATTTAATAACTTAAAATATATTCAATAAATACCTCAGTTATTTATTAATTTAAAATAAATATTAAATTTATTATATAATTGGCTAGTGTGACCATGTTCTGTGCAGACTTAAGAATCTTCAGTTAAAGTAAAACTTTTAAAATTAATGTAATTAATTTTCTAAAAAAATATTTATGAAATAGAAATTTATGTATATAAATAATATTATTACATTTTCAGGCGTAAGCAGGTTACATAAAAACGGTAAGTATGACCATGCTCCAAGAAGAAAAGTAAGGCATTTAAATTGTTATAAAGAAAACAAAAATTCATAAAGGAAATGTTAGCCTTTAATTCATTTTAAATTAATATTCAAATAAATTTCTCTATTTTTAATAAAAATTAAAAAACGGCTCATTTTTTCCCAGTGCCTTTCACCTGTTCAGTTCAGTTGAATTCTACCGCCTGGCTGCAAAGCGCGGAAGTGAAATTCATTTAAAACTGAAGAAGGGCGGGGGGAAATTTAGTTGGTAATCTTCCGCCAGGTTTCCCGCTCGTTATGTGTGTGTGTGCGCCAGGACAGCCCCACCTTGTGCACCTGGAAAATTAATTTGTTTTGTTCCTTCTTGGACCTCGAAACGATTGAGGCTTCATTTCCCGCCGCCAGCTCATTTTCCACACATGGCCGACGCTGCGCCATTGTCGTTTATACCCAGCCACGCCCCCTCCCCCTCATTTAATGGCAATTTGGCTGAGGATGTGGGTAAAGTGTGTGGTTGCCATGGCGGGAAAGGTGTCCAAATCGAGACGCCCCGCTGTCGCAGAGATGCTATGTGAGTGCGTAATTAAAATTAACTGCTACTGTTACTCGCACTTCTGGTGTTACGGCTGTTGTCGCAAATTGGTTTTGCTTGTTGTGCCAGTCCCCAAAAATTAATACAACAGGCGAGCGAGCGGCACGACATTAAACTCGCATTTAACTCAAACTCAATTCGGAGCACCCACCGATGTAGCCCTAATTGTTTGGGTTAATTAAGGAACATGCAATTAGCCGCACGCGGATGCGGATGAGAATGCTGAATCGGATGCGGATGCTCTGATGCTGATACAAACTCGCAGCCATGCAATGCATATCCTGTTCCGATGCGAGCTGAAAGTTGAGCAATTTTCATTAGCACCTATGGAGAGCCAGACGTGGAGCTAGGGGGTTTGGGGTGGAGCAAAAAAGCCATGGCATGGCATCCGGACATCCGAGTCAGCTCAAACATATCACAACTGCAATATTTTCCGTCCGTGCTCTCGCTCTCGGTCCAAAAGCGATGAACTATGCATGTCACGTAGCTCAAAAGCGGTGTCCCCGCACTTTGGACCCACACACACAGACACACACTCGGCACCCACTAGTCTCTACACTAAAAAAAAATCATGTAAATATTGAGGATATAAAATCTGAGACTCTAAGTTTTCTTGAAATATATTGAACGAGGCCTTAAATCAATTTTATAAATTTATGAAAACTTTTGGTTTACACTAAGATTCACATTTTGCTTTAGAAATATTTTAAAGCATACTTTTAGACAGCTTTTTAATTGTTTTAAAGTCTCCAAATAATTAAACAAGTCCTTCTAAAACAGCTTTTAAGCATAAAATAGATTAAAACACTTTGAAACATATATTAATTTATCATTTATATAATTTCGGGACATTTTCAACCAAAATGTAATCCCTTTTCTACCGATTTTCCCCCACTGTACTTGCGTCATAAAAAACGAGCTTGGCCCCAACTTTTGGCCTGCCCCCCAGTCGTGTCCTGGTCTGGATGTTAAATGCATGCCAAAGCCCCGAGGCTAACTACACTTGAACTCCTAACCTCCTCGCCGTCATCCTGCTCCCCTTCCCCCTCCTGATATTTGCGTTCCCAGGCAGCAGCAGCTCCAGCGTTTGGGCGCGTTTTGGCTTAGAGACAAAGTGCAGTGCCGGCCATAAAGTCATCTCAGCCATTTATTCGTGCAATTCGCTGGTTTTTAAAGTTACCCGCATAGTTGACAAATTTCATTCGCTCGGGAATGCCATTGGGGAAAATAGTCGGGTTAAAGAGAGGTTAGAGGAGCGCGCTCAGGAACAATTACTCATCTGAATATTCTGATTAGTTTTCCGCCTCGGGTTAATCCCGTCTGGAATAAGGTCATCAATCAACTGTAGAAGAGTAGAACTCAGAGCCAATCAAATGGTTAAAAACAAGGTAAGTCTGGTTGGGAGAAGGTAGTCCCTCTTTTTTAGGGCCAATTTTTGTGGTGAATATAAATGGGAAATTGGTTAATTTGAATGTCAGAGATATATGTGGGTAAGGAAAAAAGATAAATAGGTTTTATGTAAAGGAAAAAATGTGAGTTAAATCAATAATAAAGTTACAGAGAGATTTAATAAAAGTGTTCAAATAAGTGTCAATGAAATACACAATCAATTTCATATATTTTTTTTACGAAATTAATGAACTTTTTACCAAATGTTGAGTGTCTCTATATACAATTATTTATAATATAATATTATTTAATATATAATATAATATATAAGATTTTCTGATATTTTAAACCCCAAATCTACGGATAATTTAGCCAAAAACTAGAATAGTTTTGCAGTTTAAAAGAATGATTAAAACCTCTATTAGATTTCCAACTACTAACCCTGTAAAAACTAAAACAAAAACTCTCTTAATTACCTGCTAGTTGTGGTCATGGTCATGACTGAACCGCTAATTGAAAGTTTACACCTGCTGCAGGCAGATCCTGGCAAGCTTGCAAGCTCTCGTGGAAAATATTAAAGAGCCGCAGGAGCAGGCGGCCCGCACTTGAAGTTTCCCAGGCAATTGGTCCCCAAGGAGCGTTTTGTCGAGCACATCCGAGCTCTAATTAATCCAACAGCCGCAGCCGACAGCAGGTAAGAGGGGGTATAGAGGTGTATGGAATGCCATCCGGGTGGAAATCCCTACGGCAGTGCATTGTGAATCCCCTGCCGCCGGCAATGCCTTCTGTTCGATTCAATTCCAACGCATTACGCATTACGTATACGCCGCGGTGGCTGCTACAAAGTGATTTATTTGACGGCAAAGAAATTAACATTTAGATTAAAGAGCGCAAAATTAACATTTTTCCATAAATATTTATTTGAAGTATAAAATGTAGCTGCTGCAATCTAACTTGGTTACTTATCCGAGAGGGAGTGTCCGTTTCTCCTGAAGACATTGCGAAAGTATTTTGCATTTTCCACAACGTAATCCAATTCGGATGCGAAAACGAAAACCAACAATGGAGGCACAAATGGAAAACTGGACAGGATTTTTCTCTAGAATTTTCCTGGCAGCTGCTGCTGCTGCTGATATGCTTTCTCGCTTTCGTTTCATTTTCCCCTTCTCTGGTTTTCTTTTTTGTGTTATCATTGATAACAAAAGTGGCAAGGAAGTATCAATCCTTTCATTCTGTGAGCAAAGGATCTCCTCTTTATTTTTTATTGAAAGGCAGTTAAGTCGCTTGCTATTTACTTCAATTATTTCGGAATTATTTCCCACAAAAAGCCTAACATTTGCTATGCAAATTAACAAGGCGAGACTCAAAGCTTTAAAGCCAAAAAAAAATGGGCTTTATTTTGATACATACATTTGCATTTATAAATATATATTTTATCTGATATACAAGTGTATACAATATATGTGAGTTATATAAACCCTTGTCAGCAACCGTCTCATATCTCCTCTGCCGCCTGTGAATGCAACTTCCGCTTTGATGCCTTCCACCTCGATGATTTTTAATAATAAAACAAATTGTACACACACACATATATATACAAATTGATAACCTGCTGTGTGCACTTCATAAAATGTTCGAGGGAAAAGTTTTTTACACCTTTTACCACCCCCTCCCCCCGTTAAGGGGTGTAATATAAATAATGCGAACAACAGCAGCAAACAATGGCAATAAAGGCGTAACAACTACGGCAAAGACAAAGTCAAGGCAAAAGCTGCTTCAGTTTCGAGTACGGAATGACAATTGACACGAGCGGAAAAGCACCACCCCTCCCCTCACCTTACACCTTAACCCAAAGCACTTGCCAACCTCCTTTACCGCCTCGCACAATTTATTTTATTGTTGTTTGGCAAACAACTTTCATAAGTTTCCAGCTGTTCACAAACGGCACTCAATTTTGGTCGCCATGGCAATCGTTGTCGCTGCCACCATTCCTGGGAAAACCCCTGGATTTTCCGCCCACCTCTCTCGTTGAAAGTTATAAAGAGAGTTTTACATTATTAGTTGCCAGTTTTGCAGTGTGACTGCGTTGCCGGGAAAACTCCAGGCTGGACATGCCGGAAAACTCGGACAGACGGCGCGCGGCGTCTCATTACCATAAGCAGCTGCAGCTGCTGCGGCATTTAAATTTGCAATTCGGTACGTGGTCGCTGTGTCGACGTGGAAAATGAAAAGGAAAAAAAAAGAAACACCATCAAATCAATGCAAATTTGAATGCCAAAAATGCAATTATATAACTACAAAAATGTGAGGGGGAAAAAGAAATGTTAATACAAACCGAAGAGGAAATGCTTTTCTAAGTGAGTTTAGAAGAGGAAAAGTTGTATAAAGGGAGGTAATTAAGTTTACTTTTATAAATTAAAGATTAAGATTAACCGTAGATTGAATTTTAATTTGAAAATTATAGCCTTATAACTTATATTCTTTAATATAAATATTTTTAAGACCTTAACTTAAAACAAACTGAAGAGGGAAAACCATTTTAAGTGAGTTTAAAGAAGAAAAAATGGTTTGAAAAGAAGTAATTAAATTTAATTTTATAAATTAAAGATTAAAATTAACCTTGGTGTCATAAAAATTAGATCTTTTCACCCCATATTTTATGTACTTCTATATAGACATGTTTACACCTTAACTCAAGATAAACCGAGTTTAGAAAAGGAATAGTGCTTTGAAAAGAAGAAATTAAATTTAATATTATAAATTAAAGCTTAAAGTAAACCTTAACCTAAATATAATTAGGAAATTGTAATCCCATAATTTATGTGCTTTTATATAGACATTTTTAAGCTTTAACTTAAGAATTAAAATAACAACAAGCTTCAAATTCATCTCAAAAATACCCCAATAATCCATTAAATCCCCATTAAATATAAGTCACACCCCAAAAAGCAGTAAACATTTTATTTTCAGCATAAAAAATATACAATAAAAACTATTCCCAATATCCATAAAGCATTTCACTAAAAAACTATAAATAATACTATAAAACAAGTCATACAATTGCTGACTAATTTAAGCCTTTAGTTTAAAAAATAAACATATCCAATGACAAATGGGAAAGCACACCTATTTTCACTCTTAAAAAAAAAAAACAATCAAAATACGCAAATAATTCCTGGCCGAAAAACATTTCTATTTGGCGGCCTGCATGCCTCTGTGTGTGTGTGTGTTAACCATTTGCATAAGCCAGGCGAATCAATTCAAAGCCAAAAAGTCAATCAATTGCTGGAAATGAAAGCAAAGCACAGCAGAAGGGGACCCAGCTGCAAATATTTGCAGCTGCATTGGTTCGTTTTTGGTATCTCTTTTGGGGGTCATTTTTGCATTTTGGCCTGGTCAGTAGCCAAGTGGGTCCTGTCCCTGTCCCTGTCTGCGGTTGTGTGAGTGCAACCAACAATAAATAAAGTCTAGCCGGGATTGCACTTCAGCAGAAACAATTATGGTTGCCAGCGGGAAATACGCCCTGCTTCTTGTGGGCTGCTGGGTGGGTCTAGAATGGGTCACTGTCCGTGGGAAATTGAAAAGTTTTCCTGCCAATAATAAAAAGAAAACTAGCAAGAAATCAGGCGAACGGAAAAGGAAAAGCTAGCAAGAACAACAAGTATGAAGATGATGGTTTACAAGTGAAAAGTTGTAGTTTATAAAAGAAATATATAGAAAATGGAATAAAAAACCAGAAAATATAGAAATTATTTGTATATATTCCCATTTAAATAGCCCATGAAAGCTTTACATAATAGGTCAATAGGTATAAAGTATAAAACTTCTCGAGTTGTATATTTCTTTATGGAAAACAGGTTTGAGTAGACTAAAAATATTCTGTAAATAAATAATATAAATAGAGACTTCATATAATTTAAAACATTTAAAGTTTCCTCTTCAAGTTCTTATTCCACATCAAATCTCTTAGGAAAAACTTTCTAGAAAAGCAGCCAAAAATCAGTATTAATATGTTTATGTGTTTGCCTAAGAAAATTCCGGCGAAAATACGGATTTGTGGCTGACACACACACACATTCCTGGCTGCGAGCCAATTAGATCTTGGCTCTCTGGCTTAAAAGGTTTCCCACCAGCTGTCAGCAAGCACTTCGCCGACCGGATGACAAGTTGAATAAGGCTCGAAGCCTCGAATCAGTGGCTCGATTTAAGGAAAAAATTCTTCTCGCTGTGGAAAATGCGCAGAGGTTTGCTTAATTTAATGCCTGATTGCAGGGAATGGAAAATAAAATGGAGAAAACCCACTCAGACACACCAGATGCAATTACCCCCTGGACCCACTCGTGATGTGTCTCTGGGTGTGTGCCTGGGTCGTAAATCGCCGCCGTGATATTGAATTACGTGTGACTTTCTACTTCCGTTGGCCCGTAATCCGTTTCCGGTTCGCTGGCTCTCTCTGGCTGGGTTTACATTTACCGTTAATCTCGTGCTAAGCGTCTCCAATAAATTATTGCCCGAGCGAAAAGTCCAGTGTGTATGTATGTATGTCTGGGCGTAAAATTTGCAATTAAAATGCAAGCTATGATAGTCCCCAGTCAAGGCTTCTGTCCAGGCATTACTAGCTTTTAACGCTTGCTTTTAATACCTTGGAACTTTTTGAAATTAAATGGGCTTTTTAGTTTATTTTTAGGGAAGAGAAATAAGAGATCAAGTGAATAAAATAGCATAAAACAAAGTCAGAAAAGAATGGAAAATGAGCTCAAAAGGTTCTTCATAATTTCTTAAATTTTTTATTACGTTTTTTTAGAATAAAATTGGTTCTTTGAATCTTTTTCAAGCCACCTAAACTAGCCAGATTTTATGCTTAATAATAGTTAAAACATAATTTACATTTCAATTTCTAAACATAAAATAAAACCAGCACATATTTCCACAAACTTGCAGTAGGTAATTTAAATTCGTGACTTTTACTCACTGGTTTTCTCCCCTTTTTTATATGCTGATGCTTTTTGCGGGCAACACTCTGACCTAATTTCAGAGACTCAGCCAGAATCCGGCGGGTTATTCCAACCAGTTTTCAGAAGGCCCCAGGACTAAGGACTCCAGTACTCACATGGCCACTGCATTGTCGGTTAACGCATTCAACGCTACCATGTGGCCACTGGCAGCAGCACCCAACACCACCATACGCCGGCCCTATCAACCAGTTCCGGATACCCGCCAGCATTATAACCAGTTTCTGGCTACGCGAATTTTGTTTCCCTTTTGCGGTCATCCCGCCAGCTAATGCAGATTTTGGTGGCCATTTTCGCCATTTAGCCAGTTTTTTTTTCTATTTGCTGTTGCTGTTTCTATACACTGGTCTCTCGTCCTGTTTCTGTTGCGGTTTCCTGCTGTTTATCAAAACTGCAGCTCATGTAAATGATTTCGTAAAATAAAACGTGCGGTTGTTGCAATTGGTTAACAATATTGACAACCTTGTAAGCAGTTAAGAGTTGCCTTTAAAGAGCTTGAGAGCTCTAAAAACGTATTTTTAGAAAGCAATGATATTAAAAAACTTATAAAGGATAATTGTTTTACAGGAAAGCCTATGAAAGTAAGTGAAAGCAATGGTATTTAGGTGCTTAAAATAATTTACAAACAGTTTGTAGTTAAAAATAATTGATTTAAGGGCTTTTAAATCAAGCAGAGACTTCATTTAAATCTATACAAAATTAACTGCATCAATATAATGATTATTTATGATAATAATCTTAATATTTGTTCATTTTCCACACATATTTCTATTATTAAAAATTGTTTAAGTCCTGAAAAGTATGCTAAGAAAAAGGGGACCTTAAAGAGCTTCTGGAATTCCCCAAAGAGCTAGCTGTATCTCATATTCTGGAAACGGAAATGACTTAAAGCCATTACCGCATCTCCTGGCCACTTCAAAGGCGACAGCGAATGCAGTTAATTGAGTGGTCGTTAGGCCACGAAGAAACATCACAGACGAGAGACTCTGAAGCGGCAACCAGAGAGTGCAACCAGCTCAAAGGAGCTCATCCCGCCGGAGAGAGACACACAGACACACCTCCATTAGCCCAATCAGGCGCGTGGAGTACGCGCCAAACTGGAAACGGGCACTCAATTAAATGGCTATTCGCCATCGCACATCTGCACATCTGCAGATGTGAAAATTTTGCAACAATTGGCCAGCTCTTTCAGAGGTCTGGAAAGCTCCTGGCTCAGCTGCCCCGGAATCTGTGTCATCGGATCACCGGATGCGTAATGGCGTACAGCTGGGAGCGGTGGGGTGGGGCATTCATTACGAACGACGCGCGGTACTTAAGTACCTTAAATTACCACTTACCACTCGCTGGCATTTACAGTAGCCGATAATGCACGAAAAAAAAATTATAATAATAAAATATAATATTCTTGAAAAAATATAAATAACATGCAGTTTGGGGTTTGTTAACTTAAAACTATATTTTATAAATTTGAAAACTATTTATTTTGCTTTAAAGATGAAGAAAGGATGTTACCTATTCAAAAACAATGAAGAGACACACTAATGATTTTTCACAGTTTACAATATAAGTCGTGTTTAAAAGTCTAAACAAACGAATTTTTGCTGTACTTAATCTCCAATAAACATAGTTTATAGTTTAATATATACAATGCAATTTTTTTGTTCTGTAGTCCTTGAAATGAAATAGTATATAAGGTTAATCTATAATTTTTTATCAAAAAGCCTCGTAAATAAATTCTTTTTTGGAATTCTTACAGGATTTTCTAGAATTTCATTGACGTTAGCTGGTATTCCAAGTTCCTTGTGCCTAAACAATAAAAATTAAACAGTATTGGGTGGGATTTTTTGAATGAAACTTACCCCAGAACCAGAATAACCCGATCTGCGACAGACATGCGGAAAACTTTAGAGATACCTTCTATTCCCATACAACCATGGATTTCATAACCCTCAGTCCGCTTTGTCAAAAGAAACTCGACAAGAGATGCGGGTTTTACTCTTCTGATGCTAAAATAAATAAATAATATTAATGAAAGATAATTACCCAATATTTAATCAAGACAACTTACCGCAAATTGCAAGAATCATACTCTTCCAGCTGTGATTCTTCGTCCAAAATAAGAGTATCCACTGAAAACCTTTTGCAGGATACCATCAATCTTGCAAAATTCGTTTTCTCATCAAGCAAGGAAGCCACTACTTTAAAATCATCATCATTTGGAGGAACTTTCATGGAAAGTTTATTAGACGCTGTAAACTGCCCGGCTGACCGCAATTTTCTGGCTCTAAAAGCCTCACGAGCATTTCTAATATTATTCCATACAAACTGAGGAATACGACCATAAGGATTGTGGAGTTCATCGAAGGGCGCACTTGTTATATCCAGAATAACTTCTGAATTGTGATCCCGAAAATATAAAGGTATTTCTGCGAGCACGAGTCGAGGTTCGCTTTGAAGCTCATAAAGCCTTTTTCCCAATGAAGCCTCCACCAAGTTGATCAAGCTTTCAGCTACTGGAATGTGAATACTTTAAAACTGAATATTAAAATATTGAATTGTATTTGAACCCTTCCATGTTTTACCTATTTAGTTCACACTCCAACGCTAATCTGTGCAGGATTATTTGCGCGAGAGTTCGAACTTCGTAACAGGATCCCATTGTTAGCGGTTGAAGTGAGGTGAACATTTCCGATAGCTTGTCTTTTTTGATATTTCTTAAATTTCTGATGATGAAGATGTGGGCAATGGAAAGAACTGACTCCAGTTGCCTTGGCTCATAACTTGGTAATGATTTCAGCAACGAATCGATGTTTTTCAAAGAACATCCTATCAAGTACTCGTGCATTAGGTTTATCCCTAGATGATCGCTGGGCAGCAATAAAGTCTTCAAGGGTAGCGGATCATCACAATGGTTGCCGGGCAACAACAAACCCATCGAGGATACCGGATCATAAGAATGGTGGCACATTCGAATCAAAGCATAAGCAATTCGCATTTTTTGCCTGTGCACCTCGGAGTTTTCAGTGTAATGAGGATGCTCCATCGACAGCTTTTCGTTAATTTTCAGAAGTTCTTTGAAAACTTTAGCTTTAATTTCAGTATTTCCGTACTCATTTATGTTCTCAATAGTCAGTCGTCTAATTCTAGCATTTCGGTCTTCGTCTTTATAAGAGTAGAATGCACAGGAAGCCTCAATGCTACGAGAAAGTTTGAAATCGTCACCAAGTTGGCTTATAAAAACGAAGGAATAATGTTACTCACCGTGCCAGTCCTCTTGTGGGTTCTCCATGAAGCAGCAGTTTTAGATACAGAGATATACTTAGTTTTCTGTTTGGTAAATGGGGTAAACAAACTAATGTCTTCTGAATAATTTGATTAGTAAAGAACCTTTCAAACTCCTTTTCTGTTAAATTTCTATAAGCGTAGTCTAGAACATTTTTCCTAAGGAAATATTTAATGATATTATATGACGAACCAGTCTTTAAGGTATTAGCTTACATTTCATCAAAATATCTTACACGGGCAATCAGAGCGGGCAGTACCTCCTCGTCCATTATTCGATACCCATGAGATCCTAAGAATCTCGCTAAAGTAGACACGATATTTTCAGTGCCCTGTTTCAATAGTTCCTGGGGATTAAAGTTTAGGTCCTCCAACTGGTCCCATGAATCTAGGTTCGAAATAAAGAGGTCCAAGCATCGGGCCTTCAAAAAGGATGCCTCCTCGCTAGTTTGGCAGTCCACTCGGTCCATCAATTGCGCCAGCATCTTCTCGGGACTCGCTTCCTTCTGAAGCAACGATATGTCCACGTTGTAAAACTTTCGGTAAAAGTCTGTTATTACTTTCTGGTTATTACTACAAAGAGCAAGGCGCCAAAAACCATTCATATGTCTGTATTCCCTTTCCAATATAAAAGCATTATAAAGCTTCTCAATAATGTTATTCAATCTGCAAGTATTGTGGAAAAATATGTCATAGGATCTCCGGTTAAACAAGTCAATATGATTCTGAAGGTCTGTGCAGTTGGCGATTTTTTCTTCTAATCGGTCGTGATCACGATATGGATCTGCCTTATTGAATAACGATTCCATACAGACCATATAATCCCTCAAAGAGAAAGCGTCGATGGTGTTCTGAAATTAAAAAGTAGTATCACTCTTTTCAATCCAACCTTATTAATATTTTTTACCTTGAACAAGAAGATGACATCAACCTGGGCTCTATCTCGAAGAACATTGTTACCGATGGCCCTAACAACAAGACACAACTTAATAAGCAACTCCTTAGGAACCCTCTGCACTTGTTTAGACTCGAAACTGCGTATCCAGAGGATCAGAGGAACGTTCTCCCATGAAAGTGTCACCAGTGCTTCCAGAAAGAGTTGTACATTTCCCTCTGACACAAGCCGCGTCAGGTGCACCTTCCTGAGACAGTTGTCAGCCTCGCGATCAAACAACTGGCTCCTGTTGGTGGCCACAAGGAACTCTGATAACAGGCTTAAGCGGACGAGCTGCTCTATGCTCAGATGGGCCAGAAAGTATTCCAGAGTTTTGCACAGCACTTGGACTCTATCCTCCTGGAAGAGTCTAAGGCACAGGGTGCGCAACCAAGAGAGCCAACGCTTGCCGTGATCACTGGCCATCAGCTGCAGCTGGGGAAGCTGCTTCTCGAGGGTACTCACAACCAGAGATGAGTCCTGCTCCTCCAAGACGGCTATGATGGCCGCAAAGGCGTGCCACTGCTGGGCACTGCACTGCAAGGAGGCTAGTGTGGCTTCGCCACAGTCTCCTTGACACATCGATTGGATCTTGTGGATAAGACGGTAGAGAAATTTGTGATCCTGACACTTTTCTTGGAGAACCAGGAAACAATCGGTTCCCAGCAAGCGCATGAAGTTATCAAAGAAGTATTCCAGCATCTGTTCTATGGAATTAGCATGGGCCGTGTCCAAGAGGTCCTGCAGCACGACCTTCGCTTCGTCAGCCGGTTTTTGGCGCACTTCCAGCCGGAGGCAATGGAAGAACCTGGCCGCCGCTTTCTTATCCCACTCGAGAGCTTCTGCCATTGTTGTTTGTGGTGCTCTCTGCTTGTATTCCTTTCCTGATATAATCGTCTACACCAAAATAAGATAAGATACTTTAAAATCGCAGTGTAAACGTACTAATATTTTCTGGATTTGTGACTAAATTGTAATAAAAGAAAGCCATTGAAAAAAAGCAATAATAAAAATGTGTCACAACTTATCAACTGTTATCAATAGATTATTATTAGGAAGTACGTAAGGCAAAAGATAGAGCACAAATTTATTTAATTGACTGCTAAGTTGATTTTCCGTTTACTTTAACAATAATTAATTAATGATTTAAATACAAAATAGTATGGAATATTTAGTATTATATATTTAGAATCAACTCATAGCACTTTTCGTAATCACTCCACAGGGGTTTTAACAGGCAGCACGAGGAACTTGTACTTTCGCCGACGACTTCCACAAGCTAACTGAAACCTGACTGCACTTATTTTACTGATAAACTGATAAAAGCCTTCAAGTTTAAAAGAAATAATAAAGATAGCTACAGTTGAGTGTAATCGAATGTCATACAATCATACTTTCCGATGCGTTTATAGATTAATAAATTAACTTATCTTGAGCTAAACGAATATAAAAAAAAGAAGTGCACAGAATAATGTAATACAAAACATTATTTAAAACAAAATAAATTTATTTAAAATAAGCCCTTATTATGCGACTCAGTACCAAAAATAGCTAAAAAAGACTCGGCTTTTGATGCTGATTAAGAATATGATATGATTTATAAGGTCAATAATGGCTCCTTCTTTGATTTCCAAACATGTAACTAAAATGATATCCTGTACCGCTATAAAAATCCTTATCCTTAAACATTTTTCCGGTGCATCATTTTCAACCGATGCTGATTTTCGCCTGTGAAATGCGACAGCAGAACTTTTTGCATGCGCTTTTATCGCTTTAATTGTGGGCCAGGCCAGGAGGCGAAGGGCTCATCTCCGGCTTTCTGTGTCATACTTTTACTTCCTGTTTGGAGGGCTGCAGCATCCCGCTGCTTTTGCAGCTTCTCTTGCCTTTTGCCTCCCTCTCCTCCTGCTCCTGCTGCGTCGCGGCTGCTCTTTCATCAGGCTTGTTTGCCACGCCAAACGGCAAACAGGGCAACAATGCTGCGGATGCGATGATGGAAGGTGAGGGATGCTGGGCGCAGGACGCATGGGGCAACAGGATACTGATGCGAGGATGATGCATCCACATCCACATCCCACGCCTGTTTGCTCTGACAGCGATCCAGGTCAGTGCACTGAAGGCATCAATTACGCCAGAGCTGGCATTAAAGTAATTTTAATTTTTTGTTTTTCAGAAGGCATATCTGTTTTTCTTGGTGAGAAATTCAATTAGCCACCGCCACCGCAAGCCGCAGTGGTAATAATTACAAAGAGCAGGTGGCACAGGTTACGCAATTAATTACTACAAAATCCTATAGAGCGGTCACTATTATCTCCAATTAAAATTCAGTTATTTACTCAACGTTTGTGGTGGCAGCAAAAGCAAACAAAAAAGCCATGGCAACCCCAAACTATGCCACAATTTATAATTATAATTTAATCATCTTTTCTGTTGAGGAAGTTGAATGCCTAAACCATCCTTCATCCTTCAAATGCCATTCAATGGCTCATCTTAAAGTCAACAGAGCGGAATAATGGCTGCAACCGGACTCAGGATCAATCCGACGTTGGGTTTGCATTGCAAATAAGCATTAAATTATCATTATACGAGTTTTGGTAAAGGCATTATTCAATATCCCCAGCCACCGTTCTGGTCGAAAATCAAAGCTGTTAACTATTAAACATGATCTCAGGGCCATTAGGCCAAAGCCGGTCCAAAGTCAAAGCCGCAAAACAGGCGCACTGCCACATCCGTAGTTAGAGCCACACTCAAAGCCACATCTATAGCCCACATTCACATCCACATGCCATACATTAAATGTGAAGCCAATGGTATTCGCATTGTAAATCAAATTACGCATACGACGCATGGGCCGCAGGAGCAGCGATAGTTGCAGGCACTGAGACAAATTTAAGACAGGTTTGAGATTAATTAAAATATTAAAAAAATAATTTTAAGTTTTAATTTGTTAAATAAAATATACTAAAATATATTTTTTCTATATTTTCCAGACTTTATTCTATTTTATTCATATTTTCTCTCTGTATTTATAGAACCTTTGCCGCATTAGCTTGAGCTGCAGTTTAATACACAGAACGCAAATAATTCACCAAATAAGCTGCTGCCGGTGGTGCTGCCTGCTGCTCTGTTTCGTGGCCATTATTCATGGGCTGGTGGCTCATACATATGTCCCTTCTACCACAGCCAAAACTCGGAGGTAAGCAACCGAAAATACAGCATAGTTGCAGCTGCAGTTTCGGGTAGAGCCAGACTGCCAGGACTACGTACGTTCTGGCGACCGGAGACCAACACGTTTATGGCATTTGCCAATGGCCAGAGTGCTCTTTTCACTTTTATTGTGGCCACACTCGATGGCTGCAATGGCTGCGATGGCAAAGTGTTTGCTGCTCGCAGCTCTCTCTCTCTCTCTTTGGTTAAGGCCGACAATATATCTGTCTGGCTGTCGGTAAATACCAGCCGGAGGCGGGGCACATCCTGGCAGATGGAGGAGGAGACGTAGTTGGAGACGGAGCAGGAGCCAGAGCAGATGCACTTGCCCAGGCATACATTTATGTGCTTTGCTTGCCTGCCGTTTTTATGACAGCTTCCGCTGGAGTGGCAGGCTACATGTGTTCGCATTCGTGTACAAGTATCGTATCTTTGTGTTTTTTGCACCTGGAAACACCTCAAAGACATCTACCCCCCCTATCCTGCCCCTCTCGGAAATAACTAAGCTGCAGCACGATTCTGTCCTAAAGGCTTACTTTGTGCACTTGGCTAGTGGGTGCACAGGAAACAAGATAGATTTTGAGATGATTTAATTTGTGCTGAATTTTTAAACTTTTTTAGATCAATGTTCTTTTGTTTTTAAGATTATAAATGTTATAATTATCCATGAATGGTCCTGAAAAGGTGCTACAAATATACATAAAAAAAATAATATAAACTTGTCTAAGTGCATGACTAAAATCCCTTAAAATATGATGATGTGCCCTGATATTCTCTTTGCATTTTCTTTTTATTTTTCTACCAAGCAACAGATACCTAAATCTTCATATATGTATATACTTCTACATATATACATACATATATCCCACCATCGGTCAAGAGATTGAAGCTTAGACAAAAATTTGTTGCCCCGTTGTCCTGGACAACCCCAACAATTCAAATCCGACAACGATATTTGTATGCGTGGGGAATTTTGCGATTTTATTGCCCATTGAATTTGGGCTCAAAAAGGGTTGAGGCTGAGCCTTTTACGGGTGGGTAGGGAGGACTGACCTCCACTTGGCATTAATGAAAACCGCAAAACAAAACACCAAGAAGCAGCAGCGGTTGGACACAAAATTGGGCATTTACATGTAGGCAAAACACAAAAACTAACTCCAAATTGGAACGAGAATAAATGCGGTTAGGAAAATACCCCTTAAAGCATGCTTAAATATTTTCTAAATATCATTTCTTAGTTCAAGTTTTAAAGCATATTCTGTTTGTTTTTGTACAATTCCTTTATATTTTTTCCTTGCTTTTAGAGACAAGCTGTCCGAGCCGAAAATGCCTGAGTAGAAAATGGGTAAATGGCATAAAATCCACAGCCAGACTCTAGGCCAGAAAATGTCTGGACGCACAATTCGCATTGTTTGGCTTTTGGTTGCAGAAGCTTAGCCAGGATTTGTCCTTTTTTTGGGGGCTACTATGTGTATATGTGTTTGTGAATGGAAGAGTTTTCCTCCTCTCCAAGTTTCCATGCGTGTGTGTGTGAAATTCTGTTCTGATTTATGGCATTAAACGCACACAAAAAATTGTTGAATTGGATTTTATTTGCATTTAATGGGTTTTTAGTGTATTTTAATGGGATCCCTTTGTGGTAGTTTTCAGATTTGCAGATTTACAGATTTAATTTGGTTTCAGACAGAGAAATGTGCAGTGGCCAGGCCAATTCGAACTAATTCAATTTTTGGGGCAATTAGGCTTAAAACGACAATTGCACACATGACTTTAAATCTAAGATTTCCAATTTAATTTATGGAATTTAAAACACTTGATTAGCAAGGCCATAAATATTGCGTATACGTCGTGGGCCTGAATTTATTGCTTTTCCTCGGAAAAGGTAAGCTTAAAATATAAGCTTAAAAGCTGAAAATTAAATATAATTTAATAGCAAAATTAATCCATAGACGGTCAATAAAAGCCAGACAATTTCAGAAGAGTGGCGACATAACTGATCCATCATTTGTTAATGCCTTGCACGGGCTATTCATAGTATCGCGTATACGCCATGTAGCACAAGGGAAAATATTGAGTGAGAGAGAGAACCATATGCACTACCAATTTATGGCTTCAATAAACATAAAGTTTATAAACTCCCGAGGCCATGTCGTTGCTCATCATCTGCAGCGGATTGTCGAGGAAGCAGCCAGGCAACGATGGCCAAATAAATAATGAAAAAGAAAAGTGATGTCATAAAAATTTTATCTCTTAACTGAAATTGAGCAGCATGAACAAGCTCGCTGGGAAGCAACAAAAGGTAGTAGCATCCTGGCTTGGTCACTCTTGCAAAAAGGAAAAATAATAGCGAGTGTTCGTGTGTGTGTGTGTGGAGTGTGTGTGTGTGCGAGCAAGCGAGTGGAAAATGTGGAAGCAACAGCATTTCCCAAGCAGCCATATAATGGCAAACAGAAGAGCCAAACAAAGCTGACAAGGCTGCAGCAGTTCAGTTGTAC